TCATGGCCTGTGTGATTCTGCCTCACACCCCACTGTTAGCACCGTGGAGTGGGGATCATTATTTGATAGATCTATTCCTGATAAGGCATGACTTTAGCTGTGCGCTATGCCTGAATCGGCTGTTTTAGCTGATATCGAGTGCTTTCATGAACAGCTCGCATCACGAAACCATTGAAGTAAAGATATGTTGAAAGATATGTTAGCCCCATGATCTTATTATTGTATTATGGCCTACATGATTCTGCCTCATGCCCCACTAATATTAGTAATGAGTTAGGGTCGTCGAGTCTATTGTTATTTCTATGGCCTGCATGATTCTGCCTCATGCCCCACTGGTCATAGCGATAGATGATATCTAACATGTTCATTAGATTTATCTTTATCAAACGATTAAATGGTGTTGAATTGTTTCTTTATATAAAAAGAGGTTCGGTTACTTGTAATCATTGGCTCAGCACAAACCGATCATTGTTGACATCTTATTGTCATTGATTAATATTTATTCGAATACTGATATTTACCCTGAATGATAACCGATTCTTCTTATACAACACAATGAGCTTTAATCGATTTATTCTCATGAATATGCTGGAATCGACTATTTAGTCTATCTCCTTTCATATCGGCTCTCATAGCCGCACATTTGGGACTGTCTGGCAACACCGGCAAGTTCTGTCCTTAATTACTGATGAACTTTCTCTCCTTGTCAATTACAGGGTCAAATTGACTGGCATGTCTCGGGAGGAGTGCGCAGGATCGATCACCCCTACGCTAAAGCTAGGCGGATCTACAGCTCCATCGAGCAGACCCTTCCGGCTTGCTGCGTGTGTCCTCGGCACGGAACGAAAATTCTATGTCGACATGCCCCTTGACCCAGCACTACTTACTGCAGCTGTAGACAGGTGCGAGTGCCTTATTTGTACGTAAACATTCTTATAACAAATTTGAGGCAACTAACAGTCGTTCTATTCTTATAACAGGTGGAGGCCTGAGACCCACACATTCCACCTACTTTGTGGCGAGATGACCTTGACCATGTAGGACGTGAAGGCTATTTTTGGCCTTCGGTTGGGGGGCTTCCAGTGACAGGGATAGTTGACAACGATCACTGAAGGGAGCTGGTGGCTCAGTTTACTGGCTTTCTTCCATCGGACGATGAGGATTCCAAGAAAAATAAGTGAGAAATTCAAGGCTATTTAATACTTGCATTGCTTTCCTACAGCCATCGGGTCTCATTTTCGTTGGTCAATTTCAGGAAAAGTTCTGGTGTTTCATCTTCCTGGATCACGGAGCACTTTGATTACTTGGACCCACAGGCTGAGGAGGCTCAGATCGACAGATTCGCTCAAGTGTGGCTCTGGCACTTTCTTGGTGCTTTCCTCTTTCCAGACGCCGCGGACAACACCATCAGCTGGATCTTCCTTGACATACTACGCCAGCCATGGGAGAACATAGCGGCATATAGCTGGGGCAGCGCAGTCCTGGCATGGACGTATCGACAGATTTGCGTTGCCTACCGACGCACCTTAGGGTATGCGAACCTTGGGGGTTGCTCGTACCTACTCCAGGTTTGGTGTTGGGAACGATGGCCCGTTGGGAGGCCGCTTAATACTGGTTTACCGGTAAGTACTTCGATTCATTATATTCTTCGATATGGTTACATATGATGAGTTTATTAATGGCTAATTAATTATCGTGTTCAATGCAGCAATGGAACGGGCAGGATACACTCCCTACAGCTCTGTATATCTGGACGGAATCAGGGTTAGTTAGAGGGAATGCGAGGCGCAAGTACAGGGAGTACACGGACGATCTCGATGTCTTGACACAGCACCAGGTTACGCTTTCTTTACTATCATACCTGAGTCTTGTTCGATATACACTATATCATAGCCTAACTCAATTATGAAATATTCAGGTGCATTGGTGTCCTAGGGATGCTCTGGAGCTCCAATTCTATCTCAGTCCTGTCACTAGGGACGAGTCAGAGGAGTATCGCTGCAACGTCCCTCTTATTTTCTTTCATGTGGTCGAGATTCACTTGCCCATTAGAGTCTGCAGATAGTTTGGAAGAATGACAGGCTGCCCACCACCGTTTTACTCCACCAACCAAGGATTGCATGGGTGCGTTATCGATTAATAACAAAGCTAGAATTTAGAGGTGTGTGTGGTACAACTAACATCATTTTGTTGCATGTATGACCGCAGGAAGAGGTACAAGACCAAGGATTGGCGTGTGACACACAATGCGCACATCCACTTGTGGGAGACCAGGGAACGGCAGCCGGTCCATGTGGGTCCTCCACACGACTAGCACACCTTCGATGAGTACCTGCGGTGGCTTCACAGGTCTATGAGGACACATATCAAGCCCCCGTACACTGAGGAGGCGATTGACGAGGACTCAGAGGAAGATGTGATCGAAGATGTGTATGACGTTGCCACTAGAGAGGACACACAGCTACAGAGAGCCCCGCTACAAAGATACGTGGTAAGATACTTGAATGGTATAATTTGTTATCCATTTGGTATTAAGTATGTATACCAAAGTTCAACCGCGTTTCTGTACCCGGGCAACACAATTGTCGAGGCTGTCCAACGAAGCAGCGTTCCGGCTTCACGAGTCTAGAGGGCAGGGGTCAGGCGTTCTCGAGGCTTTTGTGGAGGTAAACATAAATTTGTCCGTTCCGAAAATGTTTCTTTACTGTATATGCGTTTGGAAAATGCACTAACTTTAACGTCTATTTATGTAGAATGTGAAGAAGAGCTGCAGGAAGCTAGCTCAAAAGTTGAGCTGCATGGACACAACTTATGAGGAACCGCCACTCCCGCCGCGGTCGGGTGGCACGTCTTCAGCCTCTTTGAGAACACCAGCCGGCTCTTCTCAGCCGGTGACAGGTGCCACTTTCGCGGTGCGTACACCACCACATCATAGCGCTGGGAAAGACCCTACAACCGAGGACGACGAGGATGACAATGACCCCCCAGGCTTCCGCAGACAGCACGACCAGTGGGACGATTGGCCACAGGACGAGATCGGCGTGTCTCAGCTAGGTGGTGCCCCACTTGGTACCCAAGGAGCCTCATAGGTACTAACAAAGATAGTTTCTTTAAATACATAGGCTACATGAACTAACGATCATAAAGAATTCTAAGTAATCGTGCATATCATATACTTGCAGGGTACGAGCCGTACGCACCGACGACGCGACCACACCGACGTTGGCTACACTCCCAATATGTTGCCAACAAATCCGAAGAGACAAAGACGTCCGAGGGATCCTTACACTCCTGGGTCTTAGTTTGTTAGGTCGAATCAATATTGGTGTCCGAAATTTACAGGCTTAGTTGGTTATGTTATGTCGAACTTATGTCAAACCAATGAATATGTTATGTGGCAGCTTGTCAACTTACGCACGGACTTCATTTATTTGCTTCATATTCGTTTCAATGCGTCGCGGCAGCACTGCTGGCGAGATTAAGTAGCAACTAGTTCGGGAAGCGGCAGTCCCGGGGTATCTCGACGCCGGGGTTCATGGTCGTGTCGCTGCCGATCCTACAATATGGGGCCAAAAAGTCAAAAACAAAAGTTCCCTTATAAAAATATTCATTTCAATCCAATCCAATTTTTCATAATCGATTAATTAACATGGTGGTTAACCGTATTATGAAAGACGGAAAAAATTATTGGCTTATCAAATTCTCTATTCGGTCGTGAAAAAGATTTAACAAAAGACATAAACAAATCCACTATTGATTTTACGTCAAGCAATACCTAGAGTAACTCCCACTATCGACACGAAAAGTTCCGATTAAACCGTCCAAGTACCGCCGCGCCATGCTCCTTGGCGCGGCACTGCCGCGCCAAGGTGGGTGGCGCGGCAGGCCCTGCCACGTCAAGCATCAACCTTTCCGGTTGTCGCCACGTCAGCCCCCTGCCGCGCCACTATATATGGCGTGGCACAGGCTTTTGGCCGCGCCATGACAATAGACGCGGCAAAAAAATATTAGTTTTAAAGGAAAAAAAACAGACAGTGTTAGATTTAAAATTAGTTTTAAAAAAATGTTAAAATTAAAAACAAATCTACTATTACACGGTGCGCGCCACCCAAAATCATTGTCCCATCTCCCAACCTAACTGCGCTGCAGGCGGAAATCAATCAATGCGCAATGGAGGGCAGACCAGGCTCCCACGTAGGATCTAGGCCTTAGTTTAGATAGCGGTTAGGATTTAGTATTTGGCATTATAGCATTTTCGTTTGTATTTGACAATTATTGTTCAATTATGGTCTAACTAGGCTCAAAAGATTCGTCTCGTAATTTACAATTAAACTATGTAATTAGTTATTTTTTTATCTATATTTAATACTTCATACATGTGTCAAAGATTTGATGTGATGGAGAGAGAATGAAAAAACTTGGAATCAAGTCCGTAGGCCGTAGAGAAGGAAAAAACCGACACGGTTGTTTTCGTGGTTGTTGCAGTTGTTTTTTTTTGCAGGTCCTGGGCGGCCTGCTGACGTTCGGCGTGGTGCTCGTCGTCTCCGCCTGGAACTACCCCTTCCGTACGTTCGTAACCCAGCGCAACCGCAAGCATATATTATTATTCATCATCATCGTGCTTCTAATTTCAACTCGTTTAAATTAATGTCTTTGACTGAAAACGCATTGGTCCTGTTTGTTTTCGGCTTGTTTTTTTAGCCGTTACAGCGATTTATTTTTTCAGCGAAATGAATGGAGCCATTGTTCATAGATACGCTGCTAGTACTAGCCTGCCTGCTACAGGAAAGAGATGGACAGGTCGGCCGAGCACCACACACACACTGTCTGAAACGCAACGCATCATCCGGTGACGTGCTGTCGTCGTCGTCGGCGCGCGTCTTCCACCCGTGGACGGAAGCCATGCCATGCCGTTAATTTCTTCATTAATGAATTTCTAGATCACTTGAGCTGAGCGAGCCTGGAGGAATCGATGGAGAGGGGGGATGCGACAAGGATAGATGGAGCCTGAATGTGATGCCAACGCGTCATCAGCTCCTGCGTTCGGCATGACCATCGTCGCACAGTACACAGAAAGGGGTGCGTGGTTCGTATCGTGTCGTCCACCCCAACCAGGCCACCAGTGGGCTGGACTGGGCTGTTTCGGCCTTAAATGCTACTTACTGTACCTAGCGAGCTAGTAGCTAGCTAGCTGTCGGCGTCGTCCGTGGGCCACGTGTCTTGTTCTCAGAATTCGCAATGCAATTTATACACGAGGACGGATCGGAGCCGTGACGTAGATTCGATTCTACAGTTGATTATATATATTGATCCGACCGTAGTTATCGATCGATCTCGTACGTATATATCTCATATATCATCATTACAATGGAGCAGTGCTAGCCATCGACCCGGTGATCGGGGCCATCGCCGCGGGCAACGCGGTGGTGCTGAAGCCGTCGGAGGTGGCGCCGGCCACGTCGTCGCTGCTCGCCGACCTCCTCCCGCGGTACGTGGACCCCGCCTGCGTCAGGGTCGTCCAGGGCGGCATCCCGGAGACCACCGCGCTCCTGGAGCTCAAGTGGGACAAGATCTTCTACACAGGTCCGTCCGTTACGTTGTTGCTCGATCACCAAGCCTGCAACTGATGAGATGAAAATTGCAGGTAACAGCAAAGTGGGACGGATTGTCATGTCCTACGCTGCCAAGCATCTGACTCCCGTGGTCTTGGAACTCGGCGGCAAATGCCCTGTCGTTGTCGATTCCAACGTCAATCTCCACGTAATCCATGCATCCATGGCTAACACAACTGATCGATCGACTTGGTAGCTAGAATCCATGCATCCATGGCTAACACAACTGGCTCTGTTCTTGCTCTTGGTGTGTCTGAATCTGAACTGAAACAACAACCTTGGCATGGCGTGCAGCTGGAGTCCCTGAAGAAAGTGCTGGGCAAGTTCTACGGGGAGGACCCGCTGCGGTCGCCGGACCTGTCGCGCATCGTCAACTCCAACCATTTCAACAGGCTGAGGGCGCTCATGGACGACGAGACGGTCGCCGGCAAGATCGCCTTCGGTGGCCAGAGCGACGAGCAGCAGCTGCGAGTGGATTGGATTTTACAGCAAGCACCAGAGTTTTTTACCTTACCTGACAGTTCAGAATCGCAAACGATGGCCCAGATTTCCTAACATTTCTTCTTCGCCATGTTCCAGAAGGATCGCCCCTACGCTGCTGCTGGATGTCCCGCTTGATTCTGCAATCATGAAGGAGGAGATTTTTGGGCCCCTGCTTCCCATAATCACGGTACTGAAAGTCATGTTCTTGGATCAAACATCTTTTCCTGACTCTGCTCCATTAAACATTTGTTTCTACTCTTGCTGAATCACATTCTGTCTGTTTATACTGTGGTTGTTGCTAGGTTGACAAGATCAGCGAGAGCTTCGCCGTGATCAACTCCATGACCAAGCCGCTGGCAGCTTACCTCTTCACCAACGACAGCCGGCTCAAACAACAGTTCGAGAGGAACATCTCAGCAGGAGGGATAATATTCAACGACACCGGCTCAAACAACACGCTGGCGAAGCTGAGCATCCTCAGGGGCAACCCGCTGGCCGTGGTCCAGGCGGCTGTTGGGTGTACAGGAGGAAGGGCATGAGTTGATCCCTTCGTAATAATCATATTAAAATTTCTCTTTTTTATTTGATTGCGTGTTCAAGTCGTCTAGTTATTTGGTCGAATTGTTGTGGATGGCATGCCTGACGCAGCGAGCTACTGTGACGACTGGCCGGCATAGGAAGATGACAAGTGGGGAAACGCCGCAGCCGCGCCCGCGCGGACGATGGTCGCCTGCCGCAGACGGCTGGATCTGAAGTCCGCGGGGCTGGAGCCTGGAGGACTACCGGCAACGGAGAACACATGAGACGGTGGTCGATGCAGGTCGGCAGGCGGAGACGAGCGCAAACACTTTGTTAGGATACAACACAAGATGCATTTGGGCCCTATAGGCCTATTTTATATGGGCTGTAGTTGGGCTAGACAACGTCGATATTCGATTTAATTTGAGAATGTGACGATAGCAAAAATAAACGCAACCTCCAACTTACGCCTCGTTTAGTTCCATCCCAACTTCCAAAAAGTTGCTACAGTACCTGTCACATCGAATGTTTGCTGCCCGTGCATGGAGCATTAAATGTAGACGAAAAGATAAACTAATTGTACAGTTTGGTGGGAAATTGCGAGACGAACGTTTTGAGCCTAATTAGTCCATGTCTGAACACTATTTGCCAAATAAAAACGAACGTGCTACAGTACCCCAAAATCCAAATTTCTCCAACTAAACAAGGGCTTACATATCCCACGGATGCTGCAAAATATGTAACATGCGAAAAAAATACTTCCTCTATTCTTCTCATGTTTCAACAAACACGTCATCAAGAAAAAGATACAAAAAGGCATCAAGACCAACAAAATTCATAGAAAAATGACAATCAAATTCTATGGTACTATGATTGTAATAATAAATTTGAGACAAATCTATTAATTCATGTAATCTTTATTTTCAAATTATTTGTTATCTTAAAATATCTGAATTTAAAAGTGAACTTAAAAAGAATATTAGTTTCCTTTACATATGTACTACTCAAATGAAGTTAAAAAAATACTCTATTTACATCCAAAGGGCTAAAAACCGCCATGTTGATCCTATAAATCAATATGTAACAGTCTCTACAAAAAATATAGTAAAAATATATAGTAAACAAGAATACAAGAAACATATAAAGTAGTGACATGGGTATGACCAAGAGAAGCGATCGAATCCCGCCAAACGCCTCGCGTCGGTTGCGCATTCGACGGCCGCCCACCACGCGAAACACGGGGAAATGACCTGCGCGGTCCGAAATCGCGAACGCAGCTCCCGCACCGCGGCCATGTTCGCTTGAACTTATCAGCCGGCTTATCAGCTAGAATCTACAGTATTCTTCTCTCACAACAAAACAGCTTCAGCCGGCTTATCAGCCGGCTTTAATACCAGCCGAACAGGCCCGGGCGTTATCGCAGTCACACGTTCGAATCCCGTGGAACCAAACAGGGCCTTCATGTAAACTTGAACATGCTTTCAAAAACATGTATGGCGTGCTGCAAATTGCAATTGTGCAACATGTTCATTAACGGGGATCCCCCTGTTCTTCTAGCTCGTGTGTTGATCTTGGGCATGCATGGAGAGATCCCAACGAAAGAGAGAGCTTGATTTAGAACCTTCAAAACAAAAAAAAACTCGATTTAGCTATGATAACAATTTGAGCAGTGCCTTTAGCTTATAGAGAAAGTAAACTAAAGCAGAGCAATGATGGCTCCATATAATCTTATTGGGGCCTGGTTTATATTGCAAGTTTTTTCACTCTCTCTCCATCACATTAAATTTTTGGACACATGCATGAAATATTAAATGTAGATAAAAAAACTAATTACACAGTTTTATTATAAATTACGAGACGAATCTTTTGAGCCTAGTTAGGCCATGATTGGATAATAATTGCCAAATACAAATGAAAGTACCACAGTGCCAAATACTAATTCCTAACCCCAATCTAAACCAGTCCTGGAGTGATAAACAGATAACATTTGCAATACAAGTTCCAAGGCATCCTATCTTCCTCAACACACTCCCAAGCTACTCCCAAGCTAGCTAGTCCCTTGCAACCTCTCAACCCATCACACCTAAACGCTAAACATAGCAATCGCTCTCTCTGTTTCTCTCTCCTGCTTGCGCGCGCGGACAACGCTGGAATGTTAGGCGCATCTCGTACCACCACCACCAACACGGCGTCGAGATGAGCGGTGGTGGCGACGGCGGCGACAAGGAGGCCTTCTTCCACTGCCTGGACCGCGTGCCTTCCGGCCTGCACCTCGACGCCGACTTCCCTTCCGATGACGACGACGACGACGACGTCCGTGTCTCCTTCACCTCCGCGGCGGGCGACCAGAACTTCAAGAGCTTCCGCCGGTACCAGTCGCCCGTGCTGGTGGATGATGACGACGACGACGAGGAGGAGGAGGACGAGGACGAGGACACGTCCAAGTACGACATGTGGATGTCCGACGAGCCCATGTCCATCCAGGAGCGCCGCCGCCGCCTGCACCAGGGGCTCGGGATGGCCAGCAGCCGGGACCTCGCGCTGCGCCGGCACAGCATGAAGAAACGCCCCGCCGATGTCCGGCGGACCATGTCCCGGAGCGTGTCCAGGCCGAAGCCACCGCCGTCGCCGATCCCACCCACCGCCGCCGCCTCGGCCGCTGCCAACGTGCCGAGCACTACCGATGCGGCGCAGGCGGTAGCGGCTGCCGCGCCGCGGCCGGAGAAGGCGGCCATCACGAGGCGGCGGTCGGACAGCAACCTTGTCGTTGTGCGAGACGGCGCGTCGGTCTCAGGGAAGCCACCATCGCAGCAGCCCTTGCGTCGCGTTCGTTCCTTGCCGGCTCGGCACGACGCCGCCGCCCGCGACAGCGGCACGACCATCGTCGGGAAAGCGCAAGCCGTGGCTTCACGCGAGTTGCCTGTCGTGCCGCCGCCAGCAGCGCCAGCAGATAAAGGCAGCAAAGGCGACGGCGACGACGGGAGCAGCAAGAATAATCGGGACAGCGAGAAGGAGCAGGTCGCCGTCGTGGCCGCCACCACACCCAAGGACGTTTCGTCGAGCAGCCAGACGGGCGTGCTGGGGCTGGAGGAGATCGAGAAGTTCATCGGCAACACCCCGATCATGAAGCTCATGCGGCGTGGCACGAGCCAGCACCAGCCCGCGCCGCTGCCCGCCGGCGGCGGCGTGCCGCCCAAGGCCGACAAGGCCGCCGGGAGCAAGAAGAAGGGCGGCTGGCTCAAGAACATCAAGTCCGTGGCCATAGGGTTCATGCAGGACAAGGAAACCAACACCAAGTCGGGCGTCGCGTCCACGGCGGCGGCCGTGCCCAAGTTGGTCTCCACCAGCAATGCCTCCGCGGGGGCCGCGCCGCCGGCCACGGCGTCCGAGCGGCTCAAGGTGCACCAGTACGGCAAGTCGAGCAAGGAGCTCACCGGGCTCTACATGTGCCAGGAGATCCAGGCGCACGAGGGGTCCATCTGGAGCATCAAGTTCAGCGCGGACGGGCGGCGGCTGGCCAGCGCCGGCGAGGACAGCTTGGTGCGCGTGTGGCAGGTGGTGGAGACCAGCGCCCCGCCGTGCTCTCTGGCGGCGATGGATGGCAAGTCGGGCCCGCTGGCCCCGCTGCCGGCCCCTGGCGCGGCTGACGGGTCGTCGGCGCTGGCCTCCACCATGTCCAAGAAGTCGACCAATAAGGGGAAGAGCGGCGGCAGGGACGCGCTCCCCGAGCACCTCGTCGTCCCGGACAAGGTGTTCGCGCTCGCCGAGCAGCCGGCGTGCGTCCTCGAGGGCCACCAGGACGACGTGCTGGACCTCACCTGGTCCAAGTCCGATCAGGTCGATCTCTCGTGCCCACAACTACGAACACTGCTTGCACAGTGACAGCAGACAGAGCCTCTGATGAGCGCTTGTTCTCTTAGCAGCTGTTGTCGTCGTCGATGGACAAGACAGTGCGGCTGTGGGACACGGAGAGCAAGGCATGCCTCAAGACATTCGCGCACAGCGATTACGGTGAGCAAGGCGATTGATGGTTGCTTGCTTGCTTCTGCCAACCAGCTGATGATTCTGACATGCCTATGCAGTGACTTGCATCCAGTTCAACCCGGTGGACGACCGGTACTTCATCAGCGGGTCGCTGGACGCCAAGGTGCGGCTGTGGAGCATCCCTGACCGGCAGGTCGTCGACTGGACGGACCTCAACGAGATGGTCACTGCGGCCTCCTACACCCCTGACGGACAGGTCAGGCCCATCACCACACACACTGCTCATTCTCTGTTTCTCACCATTGATCACTAGTACCAATTTAGCTCATCTTCATTTCTGACTCGTTGCCACTGATATCTATCCATGAACAAATGTATTGAAGGGAGCGATCATCGGCTCGCACAAAGGGAGCTGCCGGCTGTACAAGACAGCAGGTACTCCTTGCATAATTGCATTGTCTTCATGATCAGTACTAGTTGCTGGCAAATGTTGTTTGCTTTAACGATCTGTGGCGGCGGTTGATTATTGTCTCGCCATTGGAACAGGATGCAAGCTTAGCGCAGAGGCGCAGATCGATATACAGGCCAAGAAGCGCAAGGCGCAAGCGAAGAAGATCACCGGATTCCAGGTACACAAACGCAATACCACAGATACATCAAGCAGCAAGCGTTTCAGCTTAAGCCTTAAGTGCGTGATGTGTTTATGATCTCGCCATGGTCCTGGGCGCAGTTTGCTCCGGGGAACCCTGCCGAAGTGCTGGTCACATCTGCCGACTCGCAGATCCGTGTCTTCGACGGCGTCACCATGGTCCAAAAGTTCAGAGGTACAAAATTAACAATGGATCAATATCTAAAGCTCAACATATAAATAAGTTCTCCCCCCTTCGGTTTTTCAAAGGTTTCAAGAACACGAGCAGCCAGATCACGGCGGCCTACACCTCGGACGGGCGGTACGCCGTGTGCGCGAGCGAGGACTCGAACGTCTACCTGTGGCGGACCACCCGGGTGCCGCCGGCCGCGGCCATCGGCATCGGCATGAAGCCCAAGACGTGGTGCACCATCCGCTCCTACGAGAACTTCTATTGCAAGGACGTGTCTGCCGCTGTCCCCTGGACGCAGTCGCCGCCCCCGCCGGGCGCCGGCGCCGGCAGCCCCACCGGCGGAAGCCCGGTGCTGGGCGCGTCCTGCAACGACGAGTCGTGCAGCGTCGCCACCAAGCCGGAGGGCAGCGACCCGAGCAACAGCACCGGTGGCGGCGGCAAGGGCGACAGTGGCAACGCGTGGGGCCTGGTGGTGGTGACGGCGAGCTTGGGCGGGGAGATCAGGGTGTACCAGAACTTTGGGATGCCGTTCAGAATCAAAGGCCAGGGCAATCTGTTCTATTGATTTTGGGCACTCCAAGACTGCAATTCTTTGGGCTGTTGGTGACTTCTTTTCTCCTAACTGTATTTTTGTGTGTACATGTGCAATGCAATTGAGCATAGGACAGAGGTGCCATGATTTGGTGTGTTGTAGCTAGTGAGATGAGATCTTTACTTGTACCAAAATTAGTCAAAGTAAAGAAAAATATATATATATAAACTTGTAATACAAGAACTCAGAGGTTTATATATATTGAAACACAATAAAAAGGAGATAAATTTTACACATTAGCCAGGCATCCAAAGATTAAGCCAGAAATCTTAGAACAAGATGAAAGAATATGTATTCTATACTAACTCCAGCACAACAAGACACAAAAAATTTTAACCGCGACAGACTAAAAATTTTAACCGCGACAGACTATTTCACCAAATCATCAAACACTACGCCTAATTCCACCAATTGAAACTCGTCGAAACCCGGCGGCGGCGGCGGGTCGTCGTCGTACGGGGGATTGAACTCACCGTGCACCAGGAAGTCCGGCACGGCATCACTAAATGGTTCCAATTCCACCAAGTTCATGTAGATGCCAGGATCAAGCATCGGCTCTGCGCCTGCCTTCCCCGCGTCGTCGGCGAGCTCCGCCGGTGCAGGGGCCCACGCGTCGCACGGGGGTTCGGCTTCGGCCGACCCCGCCGTGGCCGTCCCAGGGATCTCTTGCGGGGGCAGTGTAGGGGCCACGGGCTCTGCGCTGCATTGGTTGTCGTCGTGGATTTGGATCACGACGCCTTGTTCTTGGGACGGGGAAATATGGACCACGCAGCTCGAAGGCCCGCTGTCCGAGCTCTGAGGCGGCGGCGGCGGCGAACCGTACGCCAGCCGCGGCTTCTTCTCCGTATGGGTCATCCCCTTGCTTTGCTGGGGATCAACAAGACGGACGCTCGGCGAGGCTTCCTGGTTGTAACATGGATCAAGAACGTGCAGCAGCTGCGGCTGCACGGCGGTGCCGCAGTATTCATCTGGACCGCCCTGCACGGCGGCCTGGCCTTGTCGATAACCAAGAAATCGCTGATGGGGCGCGGCGGCGGCGTGGCCATGGTGATGAGCAGGAACGCCCCACGGCAGCATGGCCCGGCCATGGTGATCTCCAAGAACGGCTGGCGTCGCAGCGGCCTGCCCGTGTTGATGTCCAAGAAAGCGCAGCAGTGGCGGAGCCGCGGGCTGGCCTTGTTGATATCCAAGAAAGCGCGGCGATGGCGATGGCGATGGCGTTGGCGGTTCACCTTGCTCATGTCCGAGAACGCGCCGCGCTGGCTGGGCTTGCTGAAATCCAAGAACGCGCGGCGGCGCTGGGACCTGCCCTTGGGCGGCCGCATCGAACAATTCCGGTGACACCACGACCCTGACCGGCGGCTTCAATTTGCCGTTGCGGTCGAAGGCGACCATATCGTCCCCGAGGATCTGCCGCTTCTTCTCCTTGTCCTCCTTTTCCAGGCGCGGCGAGAGGTAGATCCTGCAGAACACCACGAAGGTCCCGTCGCCTCCGCCGTGTCCGTCCTCCAAGGCGGTGAACTCCTCCATGAGCCACGGCGTCTTCTCTCCCCTCTTCCTCCCATTTTTGCCGACGTAGAAGCCGAAGGAGCGCCTCCTGCCGCCGTGGGGCTGCTCGTCCTCGTCCTCGCCGCCCGCGGCACCGAGGACGCCCTTGGGCGTCTGCTCCGACTGCCAGCTTCCGCCCGTGGCGACTACGCGCTTCCCGCGGCCCGCCGCCGTCTTGCCGCGGCCGCCGCAGTGGCTGAGCATGAGCCACTTGTGGTCGAACCCCCGAGAGAAGCCCGGCTCGCGCCCCAGCAGCAGCGCGCCAGGGCTGTCGCTGTAGACGCCCACGTCGCAGATGACCCGGTCCGTCGGCGGCGGCACGCCCGCGGCCCACGGCTTGATGTAGTCGCGCACGCACTCCTCCGCCGTCGGGTTGAAGTAGACGCCAGGCGGAAGCGCCCGGAATGGCGCCGCCATCGCGCTCGCCGGCTCCCGGCCCCGCGCCTCCCCGCTGGGAGACGGTTCTACTTCTACGCGGTGTTGTAGACGGAGAGCAGAGCAATTTCGCCGGCGTGGAGTCGTAATCGTGGCGGAGTTGTTTAGCCGGAGCCAAGGTGCTTTTGGCAGCTTATATGGTGGGCTGTGTTCGCGTCGAGGTCGGCCGGGGTCAGGCCCAGTCCACGTCCGCCTCGGTCTCAGGCCCAAGTCTGAGTCGGGTTCGGGTCCGTCTCCTACCCCAGACCAGACTTCCCACTCCTCCCACCAACTAATCAACTAGAAAAAGAAAATCTATTTTTTTTCTCAGATATAAAATTAGTTTTTCACCTTCTTTAACTTTTTAAACCGTTTGTTTTTGCATCCTACTAGGTGATTTGGTTTCGCTATTGTGACGCCACGTCAAAGAGGGTAAATTGGACTAAGTGAAAGTTTATAGAGGTAAATTGAACTAAAAATATTTTAAAAATATCCAAAATACTATAAAAATAAATTTCAAAAGTTTATCAGATGTTTGACATTAAAAATAATGCAATTAAAAATCCTAAAATATAAATGTCATTGCTTTCATTAGTCGACAGTTTGGTGCACATAGTGATCTTCACATGTATAAGTTGCTCATTCAGTGAGTGTTGGTTGCCAAGTTATGTGTTTCAGATGGAGCACATTTAGAAAGTACATGTTTGCATTCTTCACTATTTGTTCAATGCCTCAAGTGATTTCTTAGCATATCCTTTGGTGATCGAGCTATTTGTTCAGATTTGAGTTAGGAGGTCAGTTGCACACGTTCAGACATTTGCTAGGGTTAGAATTTGCAAAAGACTTGGTTTGGGTGCTTCCGCTGCCCACTGCGTTCACAGACAATTTATTCTGTCAATAAATAATTCCTTCTAAATCACAAATAAATCAATCATTGTAATTGGCGTAATACATAAAAAGTAAAAAGAAAACCTAAGGGATTATTTCTGTTCATAATTTCGAACTTTATCTTTCATTGATTATTTACATACCGTAAAAGAAAGATAAAAGCAGTTCTTGTTGAAATAGCCACTTAAATAGCAGCATATGTCTTGAATATGTTTTAGAGTAGCAACATGTATAAGGGTTCTGAACAGTATATAGTAATATAGATACTGCCGGTTTTTGCAGTTGCACGCCTTCACTTCTCAATTTTTAATCTAGACGGTCTTGCAGAAAACTAGGAAGGAAAGTCGGACGCTTCAGCCGAGCGCTCGGTTGTTGGGTTACCTGAAGATGCCGGTCATACCACCACCAAGAATCCTTACAGTGGATCATGTCTCCGGAAGTAACAATAATATAAAAATTAGGAACTGTCTACCCAACAATTGAGAGCTCGGCACTTGATTTTTTTCCCCATTCACTCTTCGTCTTCATCCTCACCCCCGCCTCCGGCCACTGTCTCGCTAGGGTGTCCTCCTTCTCCTCCCCGACCTTTGGCTTCTGCGGCGAGGTCCGGCCATGGTGCCCCCTCCCGACCTGGCCGGCCGCCTCCACCGCCGCTAGGGCCCTTAACCGCCCGACGACCACCGTCTCCATCGTCTGGCCGCCCTACCTCCCTCCGAACCCCCTTCTATGTCCGCCGGACTTAGAAAAGAAGAGGGGGAGAGGCAGGAGAGAGCTCACGCTGATCTTACCTGACGCCAGCAAGCTCGTCGTCTCTGATGCCGGTGAGTTCCTCGCCGAAACCCTAGATGCGGCGCGGCGCGCGCGGTGTGGTGCGATCGAAATCGCGTGTCTCAGCCGGCTAAAACAACCGAGTGTTGTTTAGCAATTCTGAAAAATTAAAGATACTAAGGAGATGATCCACCTCTGTTCCTTGGTTGGAGATGATGATACTGACACTTTCATGGTTAAGGCTCTTTAGGTTGGTTTCATAATCACTGTGTCATGTATAACTGGTAAGCAAGTAACTATAAGTATCACTGATGTCGTGTTGCCTGCCGCGCTTTCCTATGCATTACGTTCCTTTTTGAAGTTTGAGACCTGTTGATGCAGATGTACCCTCATCCAAACATCAATATGGTTTTTCTTTCACTTGTCTATATTAATATCACGAGTCCACCACATACAGATGTGCCTTTGATGTTCTGCGATTGTGAAATGTTGTGGTGGTTTGAGTTATCAACGTATGGGAGAGAGTGCATAGCATAGGGCTGATGATTTTGCAGTTTCAAATCCCCATTTTCTTCAGATTTCCCCAACAGCACTCAAGTAATAAGTTGGTAAACACACTGAGGTTTGAAACACTGATGTAAATAGAGCTAATACATTAGCTACTACTAATAACAAGTTTTTTTTTTGAAACTTACTACTAATAACAAGTTACAACTACGAAACTCGGTAACGAAGTATACAGCATGCCACCCAATGGCTATCTTGGTTATTGCAACGTGGGAATGACACATTCTGTATTTTGCTAGGCAACTTTTTGGAAGAACAAGAATAGCAGCAGCCACCACCATGAACTTACACTAGCTCAAAGCCTCGACCTCCGTGGGCCGCCACATCGTCTTCCTGACGCAGAGCAGCCCCTGCCCCTGCTTGGACACGGTCATCCTGACCTCCCAGTGCAACGACCTCGCGATGCTCTGGACCTCCTCGACCGTCGCCATGTCATCGCGGACGATGAGCTTTCCCTCCGGCCTCATGATCCGGTCCACCTCGGCGATCACCGGCAGCAGCTCGCACCTGCAGCAGGGACGAGAGGATCGGAATCCATACCTGTAACGCTGGCGCGACATGAGCCGCGCCGTGCAGGATCTGATGGAGCTCTCACTCACCTGCTCTTCAGCTTGGAGAAGAGGTGGTCGGCGTGGACGAGGTCGTACGTCCTCGGGTAGGTGCTGAAGGACTCGCACCAGTCATGGTACATCCCGAACAGCCCGCGCTCGTAGATGATTGGCAGCATGTCCGGCGAGTCCACGGTCACCACGTTCATCACCCACACCTTCATGTCCCGCAACGCCGCCGCAAACCTGCAGCCGACGACAGACCAGACGGCCGGAGACGATGCCGGTGAGAATGATCCATGGAACATACTGAGAGTGATGTGTCTCCTACGCTACGCACCCTCCGTTGACGGCTCTCATGTCCATGACGTTCCGGACGTTCTTCCAGTCGATGCCCATGCCGTGGAGGTACGAGTTCTCCACCACCTTCCTCCAGTGCTCCTGGTCCGCGGCGAAGTCGGCGGGCGCGGGCTTGCCGTAGACGCCCACCTGGTCGGCGCTCAGCCAGTAGGGAGTCGTCGCCAGCCGCTTGGGCCACTGCGTCGGCCACCGCGAGCCGCGGGCGGACGCGTCGGTGGGCACCCGGTGCATGCACGGCCGCAGGGTCACGTTCCACGCCGCGTCCTGGTCGTCGGAGGCCCCGCACAGCGGCGCCTCCGCGCGCGTCCTCGCGTCGTAGCACTCGTTGCTCGTCGGCTTCTTGAACACCACCATGGCCGTCTGGTCCACCGTGTCGCTCGTCTTCTTCGCCATCTCCCAGCACATGGACTTGGTCAGCGCCGCCATCGCTGTTGCAAACAGGAACGGGATCATGGAAACAATTCAAGAAGGTATGGATTGGAAGCAGCAAGCAGGTACCCAATGCAACCCACCGTGCCAGATCTCGACGTCCTCCGGGACCTTCCGGTACACGGGTGTCGCCGACCACACGAAGAGGCCACCGGACCGGAGGAGGCGGTTCACCTCGAGCAGCAGCGTGCCGCCCTCGATGTGCCACGGCACCCGGCACCGGGCGCAGTGGATGACATCGAAGGCGTTGCCGGGGAAGGGGAGCCGCTTGGTGCCCATGACGGCGGAGACGGCCGGGATGCCGCGCTCCAGCGCGAACTGCACCTGCGCCTCGTGCTCTTCCTTGGGCGCGAACGACATGGTCAGCGCGTCCTTGTCGAGCAGGAAGCCGCCGAAGCTGGCGATGCCGCAGCCGACGTCGAGCACCACGCGGCTGCGCCGGCCCCACGTCACTTCCGGGAGAGCCTCCTCGATCACCTCGATGTAGTGCAGCGCACCGTGCTTGAACTGCGTGCCGTCGCCGGGGAACGTCAGGTGCTCGCCGGAGATCTTCACCCAGTTTTGGTGCCCCTTGTAGGATGCCAGCATCGTGCGCGGCACGTTGTGGTACCAGATCTTGTCGCGGCTGTACGGCCACGGGATCGGCTGCCGGTAGCCCTCCGGGAGCGGCACCAGGCACGACGGCGCGTCGGCGGGGCAGTGCCGCTCCCGGTGCTCGTAGCGCTTGTTGCTCTTGAGCTTCTTGATGGCCGCCTCGTTGTCCAGGCACGGGATGTAGTCCGCGCCAGTGCTCGCGTTGCAGAGCATCCAGGTGTAGCTGTACGTCTCCTCCTCCACCGACGCCGTCTCGCCGGAAGCGGCGCCGTGCTCCTTGCTCTTCTGCTTCTTGGTTTTCTTGTTCTTGCCTGCGCGCGCCTCCTTCTCCTCGCTCGACTACGCCGCCTGGGTCGGGAACGCGCCGTTCTCCGCCACCGCCGACGCCGTCTCGTTCAGCAACTCCGCTTGCCCGCTCGGCAGCAGGTCTCCTTCTCCAGCCGCCTGTTTCTTCTCTTCGGTTGTGGCGCTGCTGTTCATTGCTGCGTAGCTGTCTTCAGTGATGTTGCCGTTGGCGCCATCATCTGCGGCTGCAAATGCCATGGTCTCGGCCGCGACGTTCTGGCCTCCGGAAGTCGCGTTCTTCGATGCCGCGCCGGTGCTCGCGTCGTCATCCGTGCTTTCCACCTTGTCGCCGCTGGCAGTTTCATCAGAGCTCTTCTCAGCGACCTTCCCATCTTCTTTCACTGTCTGTGCGCCATCCATACTGCCATTCATGTCGTCGAAGCTTGTCTGGTTCTTGGCCGTGCCGTCATCGCCGTCAACGGTCTCCTTTGACTCTATCGGTGTCTCCTTTGGTGCTATTGTTAGCTATAGTTTTTCAAATGGGCCAGGCCCGATGGGCCGACACGGGCATGGCCCTAAAAAGCACGGCACTAGCCTGGCCCAGCCCGCTAGGCATCGTGCCCGTGCCTGGGCCGCACATTCGGCCCATGGGCCAGCACAAGGCACGACACGAAAAAAGGCCTGGCACGGCATCGGCACGGCTTCGAGCCATCATGGCCATTGGATCCCCCGACCCCTGCGATTCTAGCTGTTGGATTCCGCCGTTGGGGTGGGGGTATATATAGGCAGCGTCGTCGGCCGGCTCCCCCTCGCACCCCAAACCCTAAATCATTCTCGCCCTCCCCCGCCGCGCTCTCCTCTCGCTCTCTCTGGCTCTCCTCTCCGATTCCGACGGCGCGGGACGACTCCGACGGGTGACGGCGACCCGCCGCCGTCCCCACCTCTTCTTCTGTGGCACAACCGTCCGAAATAGCGTACTTACGGAGGCGCTCGTCTTCCACCAGACACTAAGCACCCCGAAAGCAACTACAGCGAGCGGTATTCGTCGGGCACACCCCGAGGGAGAACCTGAAAGATCCACATTTTTCCCAAAGATCCAATAATGAGAACGAGTTACAACACAAGTCCATCTCATACATTAGAGTCTCTTAAAAAGTACATTATTACAATACCAAATACAGAGTGCGGAATGATAAACAGCGGAATATTAAAAAGATAACATCTAGCGATAAGATAGCGAGGAATCCGTCTGAGCCCATCAGAAGAATCCTCCACACAAGGTACTCCTCAAGCATCACCTGCAACAGGGGTAAATAAACCCTGAGTACACAATGTACTCGCAAGACTTATCCGACTAGTGGGAATAATTTCCCGACTCCAAGGAATATGATAAGCTTTATGGCTTGCTGGTTTCTTTTGGCAGAAAGCAATACTAATAGTGAGTCCTTATTTATGAATTATTATTATTAGCCGTATTAAGTTATCATCTAGCCAGTCTATATAAGCACATGTTCTACTTTCAAGCACAAGTTAAACAATCAGTTCCATTTCTTCTCCTTTCAACTTTCAGTTCTTACTACGGTGCTAAATACGAGACAAGCCGTACCGGATCTCCCAGCGATTCGCGAATCAATGTGCCCAGTTGGGTGCCCCGAAACACACGCCCCGCTTATACCCCAGGCACAAGCAGGACTAACCCATCACCCTTCTGTCCCGGGTGTCTAGGTCCTCATCCAAACTTGGACTCCAAGCCCCCACATCCTGAGTCCCGGACTCAGTGTGGTGCAAGGACCTCCACCACCTCCTCTTCCCATCAGTCGGTCCGGAAAGAGCCAGATCCGCGACAAGAGAGCAACAAGTCTTCTCTGTACCCCTACCCAAGTATGCGCTCGGAACAATAAATATGTGACTTGCCCACGATGCCTTATGCAACGACCGGTCCTTAATCGACACTGACAGGGAAAAAGTGTAACCGAGCCATGCCCTGTTGGCCGCAGGACACAACCCTTTACACTCACAAATACACAAACCATATCCCTGCCCGGTCACCATTTACCTTTCCATCATTTTATCATGAGTGTTCATATTTTATCACCTATTTGCGAGTAACGGTAGGTTACTCATGCTACCGATACCCTGAGCATAGCAGCTACTCGACCTATACTAGTAGGACTCATGGGTAGATATATTTATGCATGTAGTTTCCATAAAATGCCTGTAACTTAAATGCACATCCCATATATATATTCTGTGATCATAAAAATATGGGTTATGCACCGGGGCTTGCCTTGGGTAGGTGCCGGGTCAGCAAGGTCAGTACCAACAGGCTCCTGGGCTTCCTCCTGTGCGAAGATCTCCTCCTCGTATTCCTCGATCACCTCATCGTACTCCGGCTCGCAGACGGGTACGAAGTCTACCTGCTCATGATCTACGTGAAATGATGATGCAATGATTAACACTACGGTAACAGCAACTCTAAATGCAAAAGTACATCTACTAAACTACTAAGTGAGATCTACCCACTAAAGTCTAAGCTACGTACCAGCACCACTAACAAGTATGAACGTGACATACATTCTTACGGCGACTACGAATATTCCTACTCCTAATGCCAATTTACGATACATACATTAAAGCAAGGATAACAACTACACTATTAAGCAACTCGCTCTACGGCTACCAATTTTACAGCAAGTACATAATATCCTAGCGAACATACTGTAAAATTTCTAAAGCTAAAACTATTACCAATTTGCCGCAAGAATTCCTACAAACATTAATATACATAATGCTAAGTCTTCTAATTAGAATTTATGAGCCTATAATCCTAACAGTTAACTATGAACTAACTACACTAACAGGTAGATGACATTTTTGCGAACCTAACAAACTTAGTTTCGCTATTTTTGGACAACCATGCAATTTACTACGATTTATCGAAGTTGGATTCATAACAGAAAATAAATAAACATTTCTATTCTCAGGAAAATAAGAAAAACCGAATCCTCTTACGTCGGCCCACAAGCGCGGCTCGGCCCAGCGCGCTATCCTGCTCGCGCGCGACAGCAGGCCACCGCGCGGCCCAGACGGCCAACGGCCCGCGACGGGGAAGGCCTGCGCGAGCCGGCAAATATGCACGGGCACCCCCGAAGTCCTAGATAATCTCCGCGAGCACCAGAGCACTATTTCCTCAGTCTGCCGTTTTACAGCCGCACCCTCCCATTCCTATTTCTTCACCGCGACTAAGTCCCTGCCCCCCAGGGCGCGCACCGGCGTGACGGCGCGGGCACTGAGCGACCACGCCGGCCTCACCCGAACCTCTACTGCCTTCCTAAGGGGTCGATAGGTACCTTGACGACAAGTAGAAGCTACTGGAGGCGACACGACGAGCAGAGGCGCAGCCACGAACTCCCTCCTCGGTGGTGGCCCTTGACCTGCAAAGGCGGGCGTGTTCCCGTAAGCAACAGCGACGGCAAGGCCAGCACACGAGCTAGCGAGCACCAGGGAGTACCCACGGATACCTTCATGTTGATGGTTCGGTCAGAGGTGGTCTGAGCAGAGCTGGCCACGTGCGCTCGCGGCGGTGCCTGATGGTGGCACTACCGCGGCGGTGGGGGCTGGCCTACTGTGATGCTACGGCTGAGGTGCGCGGGGTGCTCAGGAGGATACGGCAAGACTGTGGGTGCACTGAATTGCTATGAGATGCACTGAGCGACTGGCTCACCATTGGAGGGCGTCCGCCCGGCCTTATGGAGCCGGTGACGCGAGATTACGAAATTCCGGCCCTGTGCAAGGACATACACAGTAAGGTGGGGACGGGACACAGCCAGATGCCTAATGAAGCCGAGCCTAAGACGAATTGGAGTCTACTGCTACAGTTAAGGCGAATTGAGGAGAATCGCCTCGGCGGCCAAGAGACAGCGAAGACAGGGGAGGTCATGGCTTGGCTCGTCTGCGGCGTCAACGCATGGGCCAACATCACCACTACGGAACAACGGGACAGGCAGGACGAATTCCCCAGACGGCTGCCTGCACGGCCACAGCAGCAAGCGACGAACGCGGTATGGCGCCATGGCTACGGGCAGCGCCAGACAACCGACGCAGAGTGATGCGACACGGAGGGTATGGCGGGGCAGACGGACATCCTTTGAGCGCACAGCCAAGGAGTCAACGGAGCAGAGCTGACCTAGCCGCTGGCGACGTGTAGTGAATGGCCTGGCACGCTCCTAGCCAAGGCCGGTAGTGGCTGGGGTCGCGGACAGCGCGGTGGCAGGCGGCCTTGGCGCGCGATGCCAGAGCCACGCGCGTGGCCAGCGGGGCGGTGGACGCGGTGCGTGCGCGAACGCGGTCGACATGGCAGAGCGTTGGCAATGCCAGCAGCGTGCCAGGCCAACGGTGACCGCGCCCAGTGTCATTTCTAGTGGCGCGCACGCTTTTTAAAGTAGGCAGAAAACTTGTACACGATGCTCCAATCGCTAAACTAATTGCTTGATGCACAAGAAGGTTCATTAAGCTATCTAACGGAGCCAAGATATCGTCCTACTGCTTAAGCCGATCGTTCCACAGAGTTTGCCAAAAGTGGCATCGTCGGCCACTTCCGAAACTTACACAAACGACGTTGAAACGAACAGTTCCGCGTCGAAATCCAACCCAGCCTACGCGAGGTACTAACCAGCTATCTTTGTCCGACTAGACCTATTTAATCGCCGTTAGCCAAACGTTCTTTAGCCCCTTTTGTTTTCCAGAACAATGCGATTACACAGTATTAGATGAAACGTAACCACGGACTCATGTTTCGAATTAATGTTTCAAGTGTCGAACATCGAGTTATACTTTATGTCATACACATATGCACATAATTCTAGATGCTTACGAAATGTTTAAGCAAAACATTACATTGTAACACCGGGGTGTTACATCTTCGCGCCCTACGGCAGCTCCGGGGCTTCGAAGATGCAGGTAAGAGCACTCATCTTCTTCTTCTTCTCGCCCTCCGGCGGCTCCGGCATGGAAGATGCTTTCTCTTCCTGATCTTTTTCTTCTTCTTTCTTCAGATCCACTGATTCGCAGCTCCGTCTACGTTGCCGGCGTCGTTGAGGTAAGAATCCACAGTAAACCCTAACCCTAACCGTTCTTGTTCTTTCTTTAGTTCTTGATCTTGACCGTCTTCTTCTTCTTGTTCTTGAATCTTGATCTAATGATCTACTTCTTCTTGCTCATGTGCACTTGTGCAGCCGTTTGAGGCCAGTGGCGATGCCTCCCCGGCCACCCTCTGAAGAGACAGTCGAGGCTGTCTTGTCTGCGTACCATGAGGAGTCCGAGAGGTTGCCCCGGCCGCCAAGGTAAATCACAACCCTAACTTCCTCTTCTTCTTTTGCTAACTGATCAGTGCTCCTAATGCTAACTCTGTTCTTCTTTTGCAGCTGGCCAGCTGGGAGCTTGAACTTGAAGCTTGAAGCATATCTTTATTAGTTTAGTCTTTACATTTAGCTTGAACTTGGCTCTGTAATATGAGAACTTGGACTTGGACAATGATGTAAGAACATTGAACTTTAATGGAGCTAGGCTGTACTCTTTTCCTGACTAGGGTTTCTCACAAGGGTGAGTTTTACCTAGCAGGTTTTTAATGAGGCAGCCATTGCACATGCTCCAAATATATTCCTATTTTCTTAACTCTGTGTGTTTGCTGTGTTTTCCTAACTAGTTGAGTTGTGCACTTGTGCTGATGAACTTGGGTTAAAAATGTGTTAGTGCCTGGGCCAGCACGGGCACTGGCGTGCCACCGTGCCTGCTGGCACGGCACGGCATGGTTTCCCCCCATAGTGTCGTGCCTGGGCTGCCACTTAGGCACCTAACAGGCACGGCACGGCGGGCCGTCGGGCCGCATAGTGCCGTGCCTCGCCGTGCCGTGCCGATGCCATGCCCGTGCCGTGCCGAGTGGCCCATTTGGAAAAGATTATTGTTAGCCTGGCCGCCTGTGTTGCTATCGTTAGTGGTGGATGCGTCCTCCTGGACAGTGTTGTCACTTGTCAGCCTGGCCGCCGGTGCTCTTGTCGTTAGTGGATGCCTCCTCTTCTCTCTTGTCAACCTGGCCGCCGGTTTTGCTCGTGTTCTTGTCGGTGTTCTTCTCGTCCTGTTCCTAGCCGCTGGTGGTGGTGGTGGTGGTGGTGGTGGTGCCATCGATTGCCGTCTGCTCGGCGCTCTGCTCAACCACCTCGCCGCCCTCCGTCTTGCCATTCTCAGGAGAAAGTCTGGTTCTTGGACGGTGTGTCGCCCTCGGCAACGGTGCCACCGGCAGGCTAGCTGGAGTCCTCCACGTCCGTGCCTCTGGCGGTGCTGTTGCCTGTCGCATCCATTCTCCCCCCCCCATCGTCGCTCTGGTTGACATCGTTACCGACAGTAGTGACAGGTTCTGTCGTCTGCGCGGCGCCAGCGCCATCGTCCTTGTTGATGCCGGTGCCCCCATCAGTGTCATCCTTCGTCTGTGAACCGTCGCCACCGCTGCCATCATCTTTGTTGCCGGTGTCTCCGGCGTCCTCCTTCATCTACGACACGTCGCCACCGCTGCCATCATCTTTCTTATGTGAATCTTAGGGATCAATTAGGTGTAGATAGGAAGGTGAAACTCTTACCAGTTGAATCAAATTAAACCTAGAACTTGCTACGGGAGAGAGAGAGATGTAGGAGCATCTGACTGTCGGCTTTAAGGATGACGAGCCGTCCATGGCGTAGTCGTCCTGGAGGGTGTCGGAGTAGTAGAAGCAGGGTAGTCTGGTGTGTCGTAGACGTTCGGTGTGGCGCAAAGGCGGTGATGGCACTTCCCGTCGCTGGCAGCGCCCCCTCTCTAAATATGACTGGGGTTAGGACATCACGGTGGGGCTGGCGGCTGTGGTGAATCTCGTGCCTTGTGCCCCAGCCCTCACCGTCCTTTTATGGCGCTGCGCGACGGAGGTCCATCAGTCAATAGAAAGGCTGAGCGCCCCCGATTGGTAGAGATCAACCTAACTTTCTCCCCCTTGATCTCACCTTATGATTTAAACTTAACTTCCTTTTTCTTTTCCCATTTTATCATAGATCAGTGCAAAGAGCGTGTCTCATCGTCACGGTCAGTTGCCATTAGATTTAACAGCTACAATGCACCTCTCTATTTTAAAACAGATACTCAACTAGACCCTTTGTATCTAGAAATCATAGGCTTTCCCATAAACCCATGTCGACTGTGTGTTCTCTGAACACACTGGGTGGTTAGCCTTTGTTAAGTGGATCCACAAGTACTTACTCGGTACTTATGTGCTCAATGCTTTCAAAATGATTCTAGATTTTCTCCTTTATAACATATAACTTAGTGTCAATGTGTTTGGCAGCACACTTGACCTGCTATCTTAGGAGTTAACTTACTTTAAATGGTTATTGTTGTTGTCTACCATTATTAAATCTGGGTATAAATTCCCTTAACATCTTTTGCATGTTCCTTAAGCCTCATGTTAAGCTATACTATGGTATACATCACTGATGACACCACAACTGTTTCTTTGGAGCTTTTCCACAATAATACTCCAACTGCGAGTGTTAGCAACTACTATAGATTTCACTGCACATCTCGCCAAGACTTAACATTTGTACCCTCAACTATTTGAGAGTACTTGTTCTTTCTTACTCAGCATGAGGCCTATGATACTTTGCATAATTGCAAGACATTCTCAACTCTATTCCAGTAATCTATATCTAGACTGGACTTCTACCAAAATATCCCGGATACGTAAACTACGTCAGGGTAAGTTCTTACTTGTACTTGTACACTCATCAAGCTTTCAACAGCTGAAGCATATGAAACCATATTCGTTTGATCGATCCCATATCGGTTCTTAAAACACTTAAAGTTTCCAAATCTATTACCCTTGACTATAGGAGCAGGCGTAGGTTTACTTGCATGCATACTTTATTTCTTTAGAATCTTTTCTAAGTATGCCTTTGCGATAGTCCAAATACCCCCATTTTCTTATATTTCGGTGAATTTCGATTCCTAGAACCAATGACGCTTCACCAAGATCATTCATATTGAAACCTGAGGATAAAACTTCTTCTCCAATGTCAGATTAACATCACTACTAGTGAGTAGAATGTCATCTATTCACAGGATGTGAAAAATGAATTTTCCATTCTTGAACTTCGTATAAATGCTATTGTCCTTCTAATTTTCTTTAAAACCCAAACTTTCTTATTGTTTTCATCAACTTCAAATACTATTGTTTAGAGACTTACATTTAACCCATAAATGGATTTCTATAGGCGGCATCCCATATGTTCTTTTCTTCCACGACAAAACCTTTTGGGTTGTGCCATGTAATCATTTTTATATAAATCCCCGTTGAGGAATGCTGTCTTTACATCCATCCGATGTAACTCTAAATCGTAATGTGCCATTAACACCATTATGATTCTAAAAGAATCCTTACATAAGACTGGAGAGAAAACTCTCATTGTAATCTATTCATTCTCTTTACGTAAAGCATATTGCCACAAGTCGTGCTTTATATCTTTCTATATTTCCTTTGAAGTCACATTTTGTCTTGTAGACCCATTAACAACCTACTGTTTTAGCTCCATTAGGAATTACTTCTAAGTCCCAAACATCATTGGTATTCATCGAATTCATTTCAACTTTATATCTTTCTACATTTCCTTTGGAGTCATATTTTATCTTGTAGACCCATTAACAGCCTACTATTTTGGCTCCATTAGGAATTACTTCTAAGTCTGAAACATCGTTGGTATTCATCGAATTCTTTTCAACTTTCATAGCTTCTTGTCATTTAAACGAGTAAACGTTTCTCATGGCTTCTTCAAATGAGGTGGGATCACCCTTTATTTAAATTTTTTTACTAACATAGACTTCATAGTCATCAAAAAACTGGTTTACCAATTCTTTGAGGCCTTCTAGGGCCTCAGCTACTGGCACTTTCATATGGGGCTATTGTTGCTCTTCATTGTCAAGAGACAATTGATTCTACAGGCTCCTGTATCACAAGATCCTTATTTACATTATTCATCTTCTTTGAAAAGCCAACAACAGGTGTTGTATAAGTCATACAACATCAATAGGTATTGAGAAATTCGTTGTTTTGAATCACTGAAGTGGGCACGCAGTCCCGCTTCTCTTCAAGTCTTAGGTCTCTACATACCTCTACATACCATGCTTCCCCAGATCTGCCCATCTTTTCTAAAGATAGTGTATCTTCAAATATCTTATTTTGGGTTTAATCCGTTAAAACATCATATGACACTTGAAGCACCACCTTAACATCTATGAGGCTGACTATGCTATCTTCCTGTCAGAACTTTAAAAGGTTCAGGAATTTAGTTATTTCTCTGTTTAGGGGTATCATTGTTGTGACCGTTGTACTCCTCCAATGGTTTCAACTTAATTAATCTTTATCTCACTCTTAATGAAGATTATCTTTCTTAATTGATCTTTATCTCACTCTTAATGGAGAATATTTTTCTTAATTGATCTTAATATTCTCCCACTCGAAATATGGCATAAACTTTACTGCCATAATTTCGAGAACTATTTAGAAAGCCTGTGAACGACGAGACACTTATAACTTACTTCATTCACATGATTATGTCATGTAAACAAAGTTATTTCTTGATCCGTTTAGGAGTACACTTTCTTTATTTCACTTCAAGAACTCAACAAGGTCTTTCATCAGTTGTACTTTTGCAAGTCACGCTTGCATCTTTTCTTATCCTTTGGTTAGTATTGATCATGATTATGCATTTCTATTATGCCAAGGTCAATACTTAGACAGCATAAGAGCTACCCAAACTTCTCTCGCTACGTGGGATACAAAATATATGAATCATCACAAAACTTCTCCTGTCATGCAGGATTGACTAGCATAAGTACTATGCCAAAACTTCTCCCCATGTGGGATACATCTATATGAAAACTTAGTCATGACGACTAAAACATTCACTTATACTTCATTTTCCAATTAAATCTTCCCGTTGGTTCCAATTTAATCAGAAAATTAGTAAACTAACAAAAAACTGTCCTGAACTGGCTTGACTTAAGCCTTTTTATCCACATAACCCAATATTGCAGCCCATTGGCATACAGTCGAGTCATCTCGTCGGTTAAAAATAAAACATACAATATGTTTCTGTATCAATTCTACATTACCATTGGGCAGAAAATAGAATTCATGCATAAAACTCATAAATTAAATTGAAATTCGTATAACTACTCTTCAAAATTAAATTCTCCCGTTGGCTCGAATTTAATAGGAAGATAATCAGCATTATTGTAGCAGAAACTTGATAATGAAATACATTATTTTAGTTCATGAGCATTTCTTGGTCCTTCTCTACTCTCTGAAAAATTGACCACATTGGTATAAAATTTATCAGAGATTTAAACTTCAAACTTAAATTAATTATAATATTATCATCATCAACGTTGGTCAGAAAATGATAATACCATAATCTTACTTAAATAAAAACGGACTACTTATCTAATTAAATTTTTCCCTTTGGTTTCAATTTAATTAGAGGATAAACATAATCATAATTTACTAAATATAACTGCTCTTCAAATTAAATTCTCCTGTTGGTTCAAATTTAATTAGAAGATAATCAACATTAAACTTTGCAGCGGAAACATAAAAAAATTCTTTATCTACTTTTCAGAAGCATTTTACTTTACTCATCTACTCTCTGAAAAAATTATCCTGTTGATTCAAATTTTGACAGGGATTCAAAACTTGACAAAATCCATTAAAATTTGTGTCGGTGTTTCGTACAAGCACCGACAAGTAAATTTATAGTAATGCGCGTTAGGCTCGGATGGTGCGCTAAAGGACACAAGATTTATACTGGTTCGGGCCGAAAGTCCCTACGTCCAGTTTGTTGCTGCTCGTGTTATTAGCACCGTGAACGGTTTATAGTAAGGGGTACAAATGATCGAGAGAGGGACTGGTCCCAAGTCTCTGATGGAAGGGTTGAAGGGATGTCAAGAGATTCAACACAACTTGACTGTGTGTATCTGTGTGTCGTATTGTTCGGTCTTTTTTTCCTCCTTTTATGGAGGAAGCGCATCCCCTTTTATAGATGAAGGGGCTGGCTTTACAAGGGTGAGGGCTTTAGGATGCGTACTCTACTTAGTCTTGTGGCTCACGTCTACCCGGCCTGGTTCTTCATTCTGATGAGTGCGAAGAAAGATAAGCGCCTACAATACTGTCGATGTCTCTGTATAATGTCAGGTTGGTTACAGAATGCTACCCTGCGCAGGGTATGGGCCGCAGTACAGTGGTTTTGACTTTTGAGCCTCCCCTAGCCTTGCTCCGCACGCCTTCTGGTTCCTATGAGTTTTCATCGGAGGGACGCGGGGTCGGGGTCTGGAGTAGCGCCGTGGCCAAGGTCTTCTGTCTTGGTGGACCTGAGGGGTCGGGAAGCGGGCGCCGCTCCCTTGGGTCCATAGCATGGTGACGGAATATCCATCGTTCATGGAGATAGCAAATCCTTTTCTGGAGCGTAGCGGTTGTTGTATATCTTCGTCGGGTTCCGTGTCCCAAAGCTGAAGGCGGCGCCTACAACTCTACAGGGTGGAGAGCACGCACCTGTAACACCTTTCGGGCTCTGCGGCGCCTGGAAGGGCCTAAAGCGCCCGTCCCGTCATCCCCTGGTAGTACTTTTCCTGCCAGGATGCAGGGTATGGTTCTTGGAGCCACGGTTGACCTGAACGTCTTGTCTTGCCCTGTCTCTATCATCTTGAGGGAACAGGGAAAAATGGTCAGGTAAGATGAATCCAATCTTTAGATATGGAGCAGAGTGAGGCTTGTTCCTTGCCGTCGGGCGAAGCGGAGACCAATCCCTATCTCCTGAGCGAGACTGACCCTGCTCCTCCGGGGTCGGGCGAGGCAGAATCTATCCCTCAGCCCTCGGGCGAGACCGAGCCCGCCCTAAAGGCGTCGGACAAGACGGAGACTAGCCCTGTGCCCTCGGGCGAGGCAGAGCCACAACAAAGGCGTCAGGCGAGTCGGGGTTTATCCCTCGGCCTTCAGACGAGATCGAGCCCGTCCAAAAGGCGTCGGGCGAGACGGAGACTAATCCTCGGCCCTCGGGCGAGACCGAGCCCACCCCAAAGGCGTCGGGCGAGGTGGAACCAAGCTCCTGTCATTCCAGTGAGGGGTGAAGCAACGCTCTTATGCGTCCAGAAGTTTTTAACGTTCGGTGGTTATTGGTTCCACTTTCTGGGGTACCCCGGTATTAGGTCCCCGACAATTTGCTTCTGAAAATAATAAACCAAAAACTCAGAGTTCACTATTCATTTGGCCCGGCCTTGTGAAACAGCCCGCGGCCCATGAAAACTGCGCGTCCGCGCGCACGGCCCAGTGGCCTGCTTAACAGCGCGCGCGCCCGCTCCCCCCGCGCCTAGGCTGCAACCTAGGCCTGGGTCGGGAATCTCCAACCCCGCCTGGGCTGAATCCTGGTCCAGCGAACATCAACCGTCGGATCAGATCGGACGGCTATCCACGCGTTTCGCTCGAACAAAACGCATGCCGTGCCGCTCCCCCGAAACCCTAAACTCATTCTTCACTTCCCTTTCTCTCTCTTTGGTGCCGAGACGGAGAGGCGACTACAGAGTGGCGCCGCCGCCAGTCCCTTCGCCGGTGAGCTCGCTCCCCCGAGGCTTAGAGGACCGTTGTTGAACGGTCTGGACGACGGTGCCCTTGACTCTACGCGGCTCCACTCCCCTAACCCTAACCTCATTCCATCTCTCCCCTTTCTCTCTCAGCGGCAACCACCGACCGAGCGAGCATAGAGAGCCCCCGGAGCTGAGAGAGAGAAGGTGGCGTCGGCGTTGGCCCCTCGCCGGCGCGCGCGCTCCCCAGCGGGTGAGCGCGCCCTCGTTGAGCGGCCTAGCCGCGGCGCCCTAGCATGACCGCAGTACACCGACGCGGAGGCCCTTCTCGGGGTGATCTAGTGAGTGGAGGCCAGCGAGGTAAGCCACCTCCCTAGCCCTTCCCCTTTCCCCTTGATCTTCTCTGTTTGGATCTTCTTTCTTTTCTTCTCGAAGCTGGTCCGATTTAGGGTTAGGGTTAGGGTTAGGGTTAGGGTTAGGGTTGGCCCTACTGTTTATCTTCCTCGTCTATCTTCATGGGTTAGGGTTAGGGTTCGAGTTGTTCTCGAAACCAAGACCCCCTTTGTTGTTCTTTTCTTCACCCCAATTAGGGTTAGGGTTCGCATCGAACCCTTTGCTTAGATCCGAATTGGATCTCTCACCTCCTTCTAATTGCTGCTACCCCTACCAAATCTATGCCTAGATATCGGCTCTAATACCATTGTGAATCTTAGGGATCAATTAGGTGCAGATAGGAGGGTGAAACTCTTACTGGTTGAATCAAATTAAACCTAGAACTTGCTACGAGAGAGGAAGAGAGAGAGAGAGAGAGAGAGAGAGATGTAGGAGCATCTGATCGTTGGCTTTGGAGGATGATGAGCCGTCCATGGCATAGTCGTCCCGAAGAGTGTCAGAGTAGTAGAAGCAGGGGAGTCCGGCGTGGCGCAGAGGCAGCGATGGCGCTTCTCGTCGCTGGCAGCGCCCCCTCTCTAGATCGGACTGGGGTTAGGACATCACGATGGGCTGGCGGCTATGGTGAATCTCGGGCCTTGTGCCATAGCCCTCACTGTCCTTTTATGGCGCTGCGCGACGGGGGCCCATCAGCCAGTAGAAAGGCTGAACGCTCCCGATCAGGGCGCGAATCAAGGGCCTAATTGACCGGTGGAGATCAACCTAACATCTTGCTGATGTCCCCATTCTCCTCCGTCGACTGCGTGCCACCGCCTCCTTCGCCAACGCTTCCATCATCTTTCTTGCCAGTGTCCCCACTGTCCTCGGTCGACTGCGTGCCGCCGGCGGCGGCGACGTCATCGTTCCTGCCAGTGTCTGCCACCTCGTCGCTCGCCTGCGCGACGTCGATGGACCCGTCCTGGTCCTTGGCGCCCGAGTTGTTCTCCGGCGTTACGGTGACCGCGATGTTGTTGGACGACACCATCATCCACGTGGCGATGAGGCAGAGCGCCACGAAGACAACGAGGGTCGCCGACGAGTAGAATGACGACAACGGCGGCGGCCTGCGGGTGGTGCCGGCGCTAGCGCCCCCGCCGTCCAGCCTCTGGTAGCGATCCCGTTCGAACAACGGCATCTCTAGATTTCCCTTTCAGCTAGCTCATGCAGCGGGCTCACACTGTCTGCAGAGGAATTCATGCAACATGGATGCCGAAATGTAAGAAATTCAGAAATGGTGATGTTCAGAACGAACAAAAATAGGAAAGAAAGAAATCTCTGAGTTAGATCTCCAATATCTAGCTGCGTGCACAAGGTGTAATAATCTGAGAAAGTAATGAACAGACACACAAACAGAAATAAAACTAAAATGCGAAATGTGAGCACTGTAATGTCAATCAAACCTGAAATAAAATTGGGCCAGCAAGCAAGGATCAAGAAACATCACCAGGTTGAGAAACAGCGGCTCTGGCAAACCGACGGCGAAACACTGAGATGATGAAGAAGAAGATGTCCTCATGATCTAATTTGCAGCACCAAACATATACCATACGGCTTCCTCAACGGACGGATCGACGGTGGAACGGAGGTTCTTCAATTCCTCTGAGAAGTGGGGAGGGTGGTGAGCATGCAGTGCAGCAACCTCAAATCTACCCTCTTTCTATTTCCCAGCGACACGCAACCGGCCATGCAGGCGCCGATCTAAAGCTTCTTTTATTGGCAATAGAGCTTGGGTGGAGGTGGAGGGGAGGGGTTGCGAGGTAGTGGCAAGTGAGGAGAAATGGGGGCGACCATGAGCGTCACTCCCCGGTCCACCTCGCCATGCGTGCAAACGCAAGAGGTGTGTCCGTGTGTGGGGATACAATACAAGGCCTCTTTATTTGCATTGCAGTTTGGCAAAAAAGAAAGAAAGAAATTTGTTGCTCGCTGCATTTTTTTTAAACGAGCTCGCTGCGGTCCTAAATATAAATCACTAAGGAAGGATGTATGTGTGTCTACTTTAATCCATATATGTTGGAGTGGATTGAAATAGAACTTAATTTAATTCCACCTGAATCCACTTTAACACGTGGATTGAAGTTGATACACATGCTCGTTCAAACAAGGCCTAAGACATCGATGCATTCTATGATTCATCATTCTTTTTTCCCCGAATTACACACAACACAAATAGACATGTACTACCTATGAAAATACATATGCAAATCATACCCCTATGAACACATCTGAAAGACTAGAGCACGTTTACAAGTTGACAACATCAATATAGGTGTCTTGCTATTGACGAAATCTAACCCCGCTACCCTTAGAAGGGCATCGGAAAGATTGAGCCGACACACCTCGGCGTCAACATAAGCGCCTCACCATCCATAGCCGCATTATCTACCACTTAAAGAATAACACAGTTAGTTTTTAGAATAAATTCATGAAAATTCAAGCATTCAGGTTAAGTCAAGGACTTAAACCTAAGTGGACATGTTCTACCATAAAAAAACCTAACCAGCTATCTGTAGATATATTATTTGAATCGAAATCACATATATTGTTCTTTTTATTGAAGACAGCTATTTTTTTTGCTTTTTGTTGTTGTTACCGTTGTTGCTTGATCTTTTACGGTTTTTTGCTTGACTCTTCTACTGATTCTTATAAAAAAAAGATAAAGAGTGCATATCATGTAAAATAGTACTCTCTTTTAAATTGTAAGTCGTTCTGTCTTTTCTAGTTATATAGTAAAAGCTGTGTATTTAGACATAGTGTGTATCTAGATACATAATAAAATCTATATATTTAGAAAAGATAGAAACGACTTATAATTCAGACAGGAAATGGTGTATGATTTCCATTTAGCCACTGATGATCAAAGTTACAAAAGAGTAATTTATGAGGAGAAAATCGAATAGACTTTTGGTACCATCAGAAGTAGGGTTTTATTTTCTTCATGTTTACCATGTCACAATTTGGCCAAACTCGAGTTATTTTAACTTTTTTAAAGTAGAACACTTCGGAGGACAATTTTGGCTCCAAATTAAGAAGGGGTTATAGAACCGAAAAGATTGTGATGTTTAGATTTATTCTAAACTATAAGTTGTTCTTGTTTATGTAGATAGTATACATTGTTTTTCTATGGCTGCGTTCGGCTGGTAAGAAAACCAGCCGGAATTCACTGTTCACGGCTGGTTTTTACTGTTCACGTTCTCACACATTCCTCCAGATTCATCTAGATTCCTTTAAATTTTTCCAAGCGAACAGGCCCTATATGTCTAAACATAGGCTATCTCTTTATATAAAATAAAGATGTGTAACTAGAAAAGTCCAAACGACTTATGAGCTATCTAAAGGGCTAACAGCCTATTCGGCTGGAGAAAAACGATCGTATACGATCGTAAATTTCTAGCCGAAACAGTGTTTTTCTCTCACACAAACCAGCCAGCAGTACTTCTTCACGAACCAGCAACGATATGAACTAGCCAACCGAACAGGCTGAAGTTGTTTTAGCTTTTATGAGAGCTACTATCTACCCCAATAATTTACTTTAAAGGGCTAAGGTCCTATCCGCTTTGCTGAAAAGCCATGGCTGAAAGTACTATTTACTAATTTGTTGTGAGAGAAAAACACTGTTCGTTCGCTGAAATAATACGGCTCATAAAACAAACGAACAGGACCTAAGCTGCTGCACAAGATTTTGCAGTTCACCAATCGTTGATTCTTACATGTAAGCACGTTGTCCTGTAAGTGGAAGAGAACTGAACAACAATTTTTGTTTGAACAGCATTGTATTGTATTTAGTTTCTACACAGTAGCCAGGCCTTATTTAGTCTCTCCCACTAAAGTTTATTTCCTATTCCATCAAATATTTGACATATGCATGGAGTATTAAATATAGACTAAAAATAACTAATTGTACAGTTTGCGACTAATTTACGAGACGAATCTTTTAAGCCTAATTAGTCCATGATTTGATAACGTGGTGCTACAGTAACACATGTGTTAATGACTGATTAATTAGGCTTAATAAATTCGTCTCGTGGATTACTGACGAATTCTGTAATTTATTTTTTTATTAGTATCCGAACACCCCATACGACACATTCATGTAACACCTAACATGACACCCCAAAACTTTACACCCAGGATTTAAACCTGACTTAAGCCAAAAATTTTGACCTGACTAGAGACGTACGGCAGAAATACAGTTTTATTACGTCAGCCACATCTAATATTTTAAGCCCACTGAAGAGAGAACGAGAAACTTATGATAGCTTGTTTAGCACGAGAAATCTGATGAGAAATGGCAGAAATTCATAGTTGACGCGTGCAGGGGAAGCAGGTTAACCAACTTTTTCGTGCGTGCACTTTTTCATGCACATCCCTCCTGTCAACTTTGCGTGTGTGCGCGCGTGGAGGTGATTCACTGTGCTTTCTTCTAAGAGCAGATGCACTTGTTATTACACTTGGTGGTTATAGAGATCCAGAGCGTAAACATGCATGCAGCGATCATCACAGAACTAGTGATCAAGTTGAGTAAAATCCACAAAACTGTAATTAATTTGATGATATCATTCAGAGTACTCCCTCGCTCTGTCGTTTTGCGATCATACAAAGGAACGAATGAATGATTTGTCGCATTATTTTTATGAAAGGTAGTACTTAAAAGTTTCTAATATTAAATACTATGTAAATATCCGTTATGTCAGTTTTAATAGATGTGATATTCTAATGCATCATGTGTCCACTGTTGTTTTAGATTTTAATTCACGAGCATATACAGAGCTTTGTTTGGATGAGTGACTAGCGCTGCATGGCTGGCAAGTTGTATGGACGAGGAGAAGCATGTCAAGGACAAAAAAAAAAGTGTTGTATTTTTTAAATAGGTTGAGATGAGTTGCTGATTTGAATTTAGTAGGCTGCAACCATGGATGCAAGCAGAGATGAGTTTCTAATCAGTGCTGGCCTAGGGGAGGGGCACGGGGTGCGACGGCCGAGGGCCCAGGCGAGGGAGGAGCCTAAACCCAGGTATACAATCCCCAAACCCTATAGTCCAAAATCCATTAGCAAACATCGGCCTTTCTATTCTTTGTAGCTTTCCCACGTGGCCACGCGAGCAGCCGAGAAACCGTGACGTACGTCCGCGAGACCGCGACTCGGAGAGGAACAGTCGCGCCGCAATGGAGACATGGACACAGTGGTGGGTTGGCGACGACTAGGCTCCATTGCTCCAGGCTCATCAACAACGACTTCTTGCGGTTTTGCGATCCTGATCAATCGATCAGTTCATTAGAGTCCAGACCCTAGGTATTTTTTCCTTGTTCGTTTTTAATCCAAATTAATTATTTGTATTATATTTCAGACTTCTAGTACTCTGATTACTGATGAGGTGTTAGAATTTTAGAATGTTACCTAAGAAACAATTGTCGGGGGCTGAGAAAAGAAAACAAAAAAGACAAGAAAATCAATTTGTTCAATCACAAAAAGGTGCTATACATAAGGGTTTTTTTTTTGCTTCTAGCAGTGTTGTGCTTGTACATATTATTGGATTTGTTTTTGTTTTATAAGTAAAATTAGCGTCTATATATATTTTAAGATAAGATTGTATACATGATCTAGAAAAGGCCGTAGCGACGAGTTCACCGGAGGACCCTCGAAATCCTAGGACTGGCACCGTTTCTAATCTTAAGTCTCTACTACACTTCGACATGATAAACTCTCGAGCCAACCTCTACTGGGAAAACATCAAGCCGCTTGAAGAATCTCACTGCCCCGCTTGTGATGGTATCTTGGAGACCTGCGATCACATCTTCGTCTCCTGCCCGAGCGCAATCAAGCGATCAACGCTCTGTTCACTTAGATACGACTTATAATGGGTTATATTTTTTAATCGATGAATGGTTGGCATGTTTCTTACCTATGACAAGAAATCAAATCAATAGTAGCCATGGCAGCCAAGCGAACAGACACAAATGTGCTTCTTCCTCGAGGTTCGATCGGCTCGAGAGTTGAGAGAGGGAAGGGAGACTGCGAGTGGGCCCAAGGAGTGAAACGATACGTGTGGAGAATCGAGACCTCGAGGGCTCCATTTTCTCTTTTTTTTCTCTCGCTAACAAATGCAGCAAAATTTGCTATTGGTCCACCGTTCCATTTCCCCAACCGCGCCTCCTCTAAACCCCTCCTCTCGCCCGCCGCCGGCGCGCCGACATGGCCGTCCACCACCTCCTCCGCCGCGGGGTCTCCAGCGGCTCACAGATCCACCCTCTCCGCGGCCTCTTCCACGCCTCCCAGGTACCGGCGGCTCCTCCCCTCGCCCTCACCCACTGCCCTCGCCGTCACAGAGGTCCTTGATTTCGTGCGTGCTTCTTTCCCGGCGGCGCAGGAGCTTGGGCAGCACCCGTTGAGCTCGGCGGCGGCGGGAGACGCAGCGGCCGAGCTGAGGGGCGCGCGGGAGGACGTCAGGCAGCTGCTCAAGGCCACCTCCTGCCATCCCATCCTGGTACGCTATTTCTTTCTCCTCGTGCCGAGGCTCCCTGCGGTTGGAGCAGACAAGTGATTGTACTGTGGGACCTTGTTTATTCGTCTAGCCACCCAGAGATTCTGCATCTCTCCAAAGTTTCTCTCATGTCTCGTGCAGTTGATGAACTAATACTGTGCAACCTTCTGTTTTGGGTAAGGAAGGAACTACCTTCTGTTCTGGGTAAAGAAGGAACTCGTGCAATTTAGTTGGCCATATGTTTGCCCAGCTGACTACACATCTGTTTATGCAACATAATTAGGTTTGGGAGATGTATTAGTGCCCCAAATGCACTGTCCTCTCTGTTTATGCTAGATCAATGTTGGTCTTCTTGCTTGTGTGCACATTACTGTTTTCCTCTTCACCAATCGCAATCCAGCATTAGCTGCTTCAGCCTCCAGGTTGCTTAGATACGACTTATGTTATGGGTTATATTTTTGTTCAGGTTCGATTAGGTTGGCATGATTCTGGTACCTATGACAAGAACATGGCTGAGTGGCCCAAGTGTGGTGGAGCTAATGGTAGCTTGAGATTTGAAGTCGAATTAAAGCATGGAGCCAATGCTGGTAATGCTGCTTCTCAATCGATCATCTGTAACTTTATCATGAGGGGATACTCTTACATTTAGTTTCATGGCATTGACAGGTCTTGTGAATGCTCTGAAGCTGATCCAACCGATCAAGGACAAGTTTTCAGGTGTTACCTACGCAGATCTGTTTCAGCTTGCCAGCGCCACAGCCATTGAGGTCCTTCAAATCGCTCCAGCTTACTGATTAAGTGATAGTCATTCATAAATTGTTTCTTGTTAATGATGACTGCCTGACTGGTTGTTCTGATTTCTTTCATTTCAGGAAGCAGGTGGCCCCAAAATTCCCATGATCTATGGAAGGGTTGACGTTACTGCCCCTGAACAATGCCCACCAGAGGGGAGGCTTCCTGGTCAGTAATAATGAATTTTTGACTGATCTTAACTCAAATGCCAATTTTGGTTGAGTCCGGCTCAGAATCCAGAACCTAGAACATAGGGTCGTTCCAATAGTTTCATGTGATGTTAGTCCAAGCATACTGTTGCAATCATTGCTTAGCGATCGAAACACCGAATCACTATCTGATTCATTAACCTTGTATGGTTGTGCTCAGAGTTCCACCACATAGCAAACTTTCAGCTAACTCCCTGATTAAAACTTTGATAAACTATCTCTTATCAAATCATTATCATATTTAATCCCACAGATGACTTGTATTTGCTTGCTTAGTTGTTCATGAAAGTTTGGCATGTCAGTACACTGGCAGCTTTCAACTAGTATTACCAAAGTTTATGATCCATGTCCTGGATTAGTGGTGGAAAATGATCCATGTCACAGAAAATATACTGTCCTAGTCCTGGACATCATCCACTTTAAGCTAAGACACATCCTATCAGATTTATGGCACCTATTGTTTATTTGCCTGCAATGGCACACCAAAAATTAAAATACAAACAAAATACTGATGCAATATTGCAAGCAGAGGATGTAAATACAGTCCTGGCTAACTTTTAATGGTATCCCTCTTCATTCCACCAGTGTTTGTTGTGTTACCTATAGTGCCTCTAAATTCAGCTTTTGAGATGCTTAGGACAGATTAATCTATATTCTTTTGGAATTTAATTAGTATAAGATAAGACTTGAAGGTAGAAGCAAGCAAAAGTCATAGAACAGTGTTATGTGATCTATACAGCATAAGTCTTTTAAAAGAATTACCTTTGTGGGATCTACAGTCTGGTCAAATCAAATGGCTGAACATGCAGAGAAGAAAATATTGAGAAGCTGTGCTACCTAGAATAGAATCATGTTCATACAGTTGTCTTATGGTCATAGAATTAAAAATGTCACTGCACATTATCTTCCTAAGCATTGCAATGTTTCCAAACACCCCTATCCAGTGGTTCCTGATTGATCTCTTCATGTGCCATATAATTATTTAAGTTGACAGTTTAACACTCTATACTGCTTGCTTCTTTGATGTACCAGTGCTTTATTTCTATACAGAAGATTTTATTCCGAGGTTACTCATATTTCTATTTTCTCACCATTCAGCTGCTGGCCCACCTTCACCTGCGGAACATTTGCGTGAAGTATTCTATAGAATGGGCCTGAATGACAAGGTGTGAAGTGTGAACTGAATGCTGTGTTTAAATTAGACTTGGCATAATTCTATATTTGCTAGTCACAACTATTTTGTGCTCTGTAGGAAATTGTTGCACTGTCAGGAGCTCATACGCTTGGACGGGCAAGACCAGAGCGTAGTGGCTGGGGTAAACCAGAAACAAAGTACACTGTATGTAACCTGCAGTTTTAATCATGCGTTGTCCTTTTTTCAGTTATTGCATTTGCATGCCTGTCCTTCATAATTTACTTATTATATTAGGCAGTAAAATGTGAGTGTAACCTATATTTTCTATTCGTGCTAGACTGCTAGCTAATTTCTTGTTTGGCTTTGTTCTACTGATTGGTCCTTGCTTATACGCTTGCTGCATGGACACCATATTTGATACTTGTCCGTGCTGATATCTGATAAGACATTATTGTCTACTATGCCCTGGAAATTGCTTTTCACTATATTGTGGTGTGTCTGCTAGCTTTTCCCTCTATGGATCTTAGTTCTATTTTCCCCACCATTATTCTTGTAAAGATGCACTTTGTGTGATTAGTACAGTAATAGCACCTTCAGATTCATAGTCTTGTTTGCTGAATGGTGATGGAGTGGAGTAACTCACTCGTTTGTTAATTGTTCTTTTGTTTGATATGCCAGAAAGATGGGCCTGGTGCACCTGGAGGGCAATCTTGGACATCTCAATGGCTCAAGTTTGACAACAGCTATTTCAAGGTATTGTCCATAAGTTTGCTATAGGATTACCTTCAAAGGATTCAATCATGTAGCTTTAACAAAAACATGGGCATAACAATTCAGGCTATCAAAGAAAGGCGAGATGAGGACCTCCTAGTTCTGCCTACTGATGCTGTGCTATTTGAGGATTCCTCATTCAAGGTTAGTGAAGGTTCTCATGTTGCAAAAAACTGCACATATCTAGCTTTTATCTGGACCATGTCTCATGATGACTTTTCATACTTGAAGATCTATGCTGAGAAATATGCCACGGATCAGGATGCATTTTTCGAGGACTACGCTGAAGCTCATGCCAAATTAAGCAATCTTGGGGCCAAGTTTGACCTGCCAAAGGTAAAAGGAATCAGGACACTTTCCATTCTTGAGAGGTAGAAAATAATTATGTTCTTAGGTCATGTAACATGCTTTTCATTGAAATGTTTGCAGGGTGTCTCGCTTGAGTAGCTGTGGATGGAGGTGACTGAGCAGGACATTGTCATGTTGACGTGAGACCATTTTCAAAGGTTTTGCAAGGAAAAGTTGTTCGAGTTCAATGACAGCTCCACAAATTGCATTCACTGATTAAAGGAAGTTTTTGTGCTCAGCATGCTCTATTTGAGTAGTATGCTACACTATGAATAAAGCAGCATCTGTCATTTCAGGATAAATATTTATTACACTAACCGAAGTTTACCTTGGTTGCTGTATGGTACTGCATTCAGCTTACCAAATGATCATGTTCCACCGAATTGAACCAAGTTTTGTTCTTCCGCTGTTTGTCATTTATGCTATGGGCTCGCTAGAGCCCAGATGTCCGGACGCTTGCACCTGCAGTTTGTTTTCCGCTCTGTTTCATGTGTCCATGTGGGGCCCGCATAGCCCCAAACGCCACCAACATTGAGAAGAGGGGGAGGGGGCGGCGGATGCCTAGCCGGAATCGGAAGGAGGAAAAACCGAGGCGATGTAGTAGAAAGCGAGGAGGGAGATGCTACACCGATCTACTTTTGAAGCATCCAGATGCAACACTTGTAATGTACATCTGAAGGTAGATGAAACATTTGAAACATGCACTTGCAACACTTGTATGTGTCAAACATATGCAACATTCAAATAAACACGCTTGCAACATATGTCTGAGAAAAACAGATGAAACATTGGGAATAGAAGTTTATAACATACGTGTACAAACATTGCAACATATGTAACATTTTCGATCTACTTTTGCAACATCAACATGAGACACTTGCAACATACCTATGAAACATATGAAACACTTGGAATATAGGCGTGCAATATGCGTTTTTCATCCTTCTTCCGTAACGCAGCGCAGAGCGAGGGGGTGGCCGGTTTCGGCCTGTTGGCAGCCGAGGATGGTGGCGTGGCTTGGCAACGGCGGCCAGTTGCCCCTGCACCTAGCCTAGTCCTAGCCAGCGACGGCCCCCCTCTCCTGGTCGCCTGGCCTGGGCACAGCTGAAGGACAAAGCACGCATGGCGTAGCGAGGGGAAGGAGGCGCCGCTGTAGTCGCCGAGCACACGCGCATGGAGCTTGGAGGCGGAGGGCGAGGGCCGGTGAACGAGTCCGGCGGCAGCTACAGTCGGTGCGGCGGCTAGCAGCATACCTCGCACGGAGGATTCCTCCTCTCTATGGGGGACACAGTTGCCGCGGGGATGGGGGGTGCCACAGGGGATGGCAGTGGCGCGGGGTGGAGGCGGCAGCATGGCAGATTAGGACGGCCGCACGGCACGGTAAAGCCGCGACGGATGAGCATGGAACGGGGGAGACGAGCTCCCGTAGGGACATTTGATTTTTTTTCTTAGGTCCGGACAGACGGACGCCCCTGGCCTAAGTATTACCGATCTTACGTGCGATTGATATGCTACTCTGGAGGTATCAACTCATGTCCTTTTTTCTGAAAAATAAAAACAACTTGTTTCCTTGTTAGACAACCCAAAACAGCATAAATCAGTGTCTAGCAATCTCCCTTCAGCATACCCTCCAGCAGAAACGCATATGTTCGACTCGGATTGGAGCTTGCTGTTTTTGTGCAGCTTACCGTGTTGAACTGGGATTTGAAGGAGTCGCAGTGTGCATGTGATCCTCTATAGCTCATGCAATATTACTAGACCTGGCAAACAGTATCAGTTCAACACTTCCATAACGACTCATTCTCTGGCAGCACTGTGGTTGCAAAACCACTCGGATTTAAGAACTGTGCGAGGGATACATTCTATTGGCCATGCAGAAAAGGGAGAAAACCGTGTAGCAATGACATACATTAAGACATAAGAAGACTTCATATTTACAACTAAAAAGATACAAGTCACTCTAGATGACCAATGATTTTATTACAGCATAGAAAGTTAGAAACACTCTACCTGGAGTCCTAGCCTACCAAGCTACTGCTAAATTTTGGGCTGACCTACTGCCTAACCTGAAGAGAATTGAGCTTCTTGTTTATCTCCCCAAACTTTTCCTTTAAGCGCTTGATCTGAATCCAGCGAAACAATACTAAATATTCAGAATGATCTTAACATGGTAAGCACTTAAAACTGTAGTTCTTTTCATATAGAAAGACGTACCCGCTTCAGTTCGATCTCCAACTCTCGCTTCTTCTGCCCAAGTGACTGGCGCAGCTGAGTGACATCAAAGATGCTATCAAGTTCCTCTTCAAAAGCTGATTCAAGGTCTTGTCTTAGAAGCGCTGGTAATTTGTCAACAATCGGCATGAGGAGAAAGCAATTGAACTGCAATTTCATGATGAGCCAAAGCATTATGCCATGAACAAAGGAAAAGGAACAGCTTTAGTAAGAAATATCTGGTGAGCTAGTGCATAACAAGTTTTTGGATGAGGGAGACCTTAAGTTCAGTGGTGACAAGAAAATGCTCTTTGATTCCATGAAAAATCTGGTGCACCAGCGCATAAACAAGTCTTTCAGATGAGGGCACCAGCCGTCTGTTCCAGAGTGTGCTATCCAATAGATCTACCAGCCTTGTCTCCGGCACAGCACTGGATGAATTTGTGTCTGAAGAATGGTTTGACTTCGAGAATCACCCTTTGCCCTATCCTGTTTGTTGTCATTCAACCCAGAAAACTGTTCGTTCAGTGTATTTACTGAGAGTTGCTCCGGTGCAACAAATGAATCGAGGAAGTGTCTCAATCCAGCACGGTTCTGCGTCCAATAGAGCAAAACATCACACATGCTGATAGCATGTATTTAAAATTCCTGAGGTGTAAAAATTGCACCTTGTTGTGAAGGGACCAAGTGACATAACGAGTGGTACTCTCCAAATCTTCCATACACCTGCATTAGAAATAAAAAAAAAAAGTAAATTTCACTGGCGGTCTTCGAACTTGTCTTGAGTTCTCATCTAGGTCCCAGTACTTTCAAATTGCACATTCAACTCCCTAAACTTGTTCCGAGTTCTCATCCAGGTCCCGAGAACTTTTAAATTGCGCATTTAGCTCCCTAAGCTTGTCTCAAGTTCTCATCCAGATCCCGAATTACGCATTTAGCTCCCTAAACTTGTCCCAAGTTCTCATCTCAGTCCTAGTACTTCAAAAATACACGACCAACTCCCCAAAATGTATTATTGTACCATTCCGGTCCATCCCCTCCCCACACAATGCGTTTCATGTGCACAACTAGCTTCCTAGGACCCGCTTCGCGGCTTGGCCATCCTTGTCGTGTTTGCCCTACCACATGTCCTAGCCAAGCCTTCGCCGCTATGGCCCTCCTCGATTCCGCTTGACTTGCTCCTGCTCCACCTCACTGTGGCATCGGCCCTTGCCTCACCGCAATCACATTCAACACCACCACAGCCACCACCGCACTCCTTCCGGTCCCTCGTCGAGCAAGAGTTCATGCTCTCACCATCTCTTCACACTTAGTTCCCTACACTCCCATCCTTCCTCACCTCCCTCGACAACAATAGGGTTGTCGTCATAGTGCAGTAGGGTGAGTGGAGCACGCGGCATGGCGGTGCACGAGCACGACATGGCCTAGCGTGGCAACATGGGTGTGGCACCGCACTAACGATGTAACATAGGCATGCATGGTGTAGGAGGTCAAGCATGGTGCGGCGCTGCATGGCTACGCGGGTAGGGCGGGCATGTGCGGTTTGACGAAGGTGAGGATGATGGTACAGGGGTGGATGGACCATAATGGTACAACAATACAACTTTAGGGACCTGAATGTGTAATTTAAAAGTATCGGGACCTGTATGAGAACTTGGGACAAGTTTAGAGAGCTAAATGCGCAATTTAAAAGTACCAGGACCTGAATGAGAACCTAGGACAAGTTTAGGGAGCTAAATGAGCAATTTGAAAGTACCGGGACCTAGATGAGAACTTGGGACAAGTTCGAGGACCGCCAGTAAAATTTACTCAAAAAAAATCTATATTACCCATGTAACAATTAACACAGCCTATAGAAGCACATGCCTACCCCAACTTGTTTGGGACAAAGGCTTTGTTGTTGTTGTTGTATAGAAGCACATCAGTGGAAACACAAAGGATGTGATTTAGCAGTTATGACTAAGGAGTAAGAAGCGAGCATGAACAATAGCTAACAAACACATTAGAAGTTAATATCTCTTAACAGCTGCATCTATAAGGTCTTGTTTGTTTTAGCTTGCAGATTGTGGACAGTGGATTTTAGGTTGTTACAATCTGCAAGCAAGGGGGAGGCAGATTTTAACAAACTGCGAGCTAAAACAAACAAGGCGTAGCTCTATTTTGCTAATCCACTTAACTGAAAAACACAAACCCCTCAAATCACTTATTACAAAATGCTCAGGGACACAGGATTTGACATCAACAGATCAAACAGAGGTAAAATGTATGATAGTATGAAACTAAGAATTGGGATATCCACATTCCACCATTTACACTTCATTGATGAATGCAGTTCTTTGATTCTTTCCATTGTGACAAACTCAAAACAGCCTTCACTAGAGATAATTACTAGACTAAATAACTCCATCATTCCATAAATGTGAAACAAAATGACTAGCATTCTAACTAGTCAACTCCCTGCCCACCACCCAGAGCATATGTTGAGAAGGATCCATACACCTTTTCATCAAATATGATATTCCATTCAATCTTAAAGTGTACCTGTTTTTATCTTTTTCAATTTAAATGGGAACTGGAAAGTGACAGCTGACAAGCATAACTAAGTAAATGAGTGAAAAACGTTTTTAGCACTTCACAGATAAAGCCAAATAGCCAATCTATATTTCTCAAAAGGTGATCCATAGATAGCACAATAACTGTTGACAATAAGAAATGCTAGAAGAGGTGTCTGCAGTTTCAACTCAAAGATGCTAGAAGCAAGATGTATGAGCATTGCCTTTGCAAATAAATTGTATTTTTACTAGATTGCACACAAGCAAATAAACAAGAAAGCCATTCATATGTATCAGAATCGTGAAGGTTATTACCTTTGACGACATGATTGCTCAGTGGATTCAGCAAACCTCTTGAATGCTTCCTGGACACGCCTTACAAGCACTTCATGGCTACTAAAGTGCTCACCATCTTTCTGCAAAGTCCCATCAGAGTAATTTCCAAAAAAATTCAAAAGACAAAGAAAAATCATATCATTCAAATAACTTAAGGACAAATTAGTACCTCCAGCAGATAAACAGAGATTGGGATCAGCCTCTTCAGTATGTACAAAAGCCTAAAACCCAACTGCGTTAAGGTTCAGTAACAGTTATCAATTCAGAAACATAGTAATCAAATCAAGATCAAAACCTATCAACCACTACAAAATAGTTGAACTATTTAATTATTTTGTTGATCATGCTATTGCGACCAATATCTAATGATATCACATGCTTTAGAAAGGGAATGTCTTGCACAAGAAGCCCAAATGAAAAAGATGCATATATCATGAAAATGACTGTTGCAGGTTTCCGAAACCATAATCACACAAAGTATGACAAATATATCTAGAAATGGAACATGATGAAATCCAAATGGCAGATCAATAATGAGCCCACGCGGCCACGCTTGAGGCAAGCTGACCAACCTGATGAAGGAATGGCTCAAATGCGTCACGTGCTTTTGCCACGGCAATTACACAAGCAGTCCTAACAAAACCAGTCAATGTTCAGAATGAAGAAAATATACAGTGCAACTATATCATTTCTGAATGAAATGTGCATATTTATATTCAATTCAAGAAAACTAAGTAAGTACAGCCGTACAGTTTTACTCAGGTTAATTTCAGTCAAGTTAAATTTTAAATTCTGTATGGTTCTAAAAGCTCAGCATTTAAAATGTCCAATATAAGGTTGCCATCTTTAAAATAAAGAAACCACAAAAAACTGAAGAAAGAAAGAATAGTAGATAGATACAACTTTAATGAACAACACCTCGCATTGCATTTTGTATTTTGATGCAATTTCTTGTCAATATAAATAATCCTACCCTTAGCGTGAGCCTAGAATATCCTATGTTCGCAGATTTAAATCTGTTCCACTGATGTCATTTTAACTCAATGTGATCACAGGAATGTAGGACCCTAGGATCCATATCATGGTGATAACGCTAAGAAAGAGAGTACCTAGAGTAGTTTGTCCCATCATGAATATCCTCAACACCACAAGCATTGACAATTTCCTCCCTAGTTATTGGAGGGCACCTGATATTACCAACTACCAGACGAAATTCAGCCATTGCCCGATGGTATTGTGCACCACCATAAAGACGCATGCCACCATTCTGCAAAAAGGACATTTCAAACATTTGATAAATGAATTAAAAGTGCACTTAGTATAATTGTGATCTACATTACATCCGTAGCCAAGGCAGTAGTATATGGTGTGTGGGAACAAATAAACTAATACAACTAGCTGAGTAGTGGAGATAAAATATGTTTACCCTTTAGCTTCTGTAGAAAACAAATGCTTAATGTTCAAAACGTGGTAAAAGATCATGGCTTCATGGGGTCAACTACTCAAGTAGCTGAAATCAGCGTGCCACTCCTAAGTACTAATTGATTAAGAGTAGTAGTGTGCATCTGAAGGGCGGGCCTGGTGCAAGCGGTAGAGTCTTACCGCCTGTGACCGGAAGGTCCCGGGTTCGAGTCATGTTCCTCCATTCTCGCATTGCCTGTGGCGAGGTAAGGCTTGCCACCGACACCTTTTCCCAGACCTCCATACAGAAATCACGAGCTCTCTCACCTGGACGCCTTTTTTTTTTTTCAGTGTGCATCTTTAGTACCATTTTTTTTATAAAAAAAACATAACTTACTGGCATCATCTTGTTTGGGAGCTGGAAATTCTCACTTCCAGTAAATGTTCCTCCATTAATCCTCTCATTAACTAAAGTTTCTCCTGTGGCCCAACAGTTTAAATAAGTCACAACAAAGCAGAATGTAGCAACAACCTCAAGACCTCCATAAAATAAATCACAGGAGATTAAACACTCACCAAATTTATCAGGAGGTGCCACCACCATGCCTTTCAATAGCAAACATAACTGAAATGAAATAATCCGACATTAATTTTAATTCTCAAACAGTTTTTATTTCTGAATACAACATTCTAATACAACTCGTGTAATCAAATGCTGTAGTGCAAGATGATTGCACCATCTAAGTAATAATGTAGTATTTTCCTTATAATATGTAGAACAAGCACCTTGGTCAAAAATGAGTCATGGAATAGCTGAGCTTTCTCCATCAGTTTGGCTTCGTCCAGATCACTGTTCAGATATAGGATGTCAACATAAAAATACGTCTTGAATAACAAATATATTATCATGAGCATGTAAAGTTGGACGTATGGGGAAGAACGTAACCCAGCCTTCCTGTTAGAGTATATTAGGCAACTCCGGATATGGTTAGTTTAGGATTGATTGTAATCCTGGGATAACCTTCCTTATCTCTAGGAGAGGCTACTTGCCCTCCAAGCCATGTACTCCTATATAATCAGCCCAAGGGGCTCAAGCAATACATCCACGCATTATACACCAATCTTACATGGTATCACGAGTCTAGGTTCTAACCCTAGGCTTCCGGCTTCCGTTGCCCTCGCGCCGCCCCCGGGGAGATCGATCTCCACCGAGGGCAGAGCCCTCGTAGGATGCGCGACTGATCCTTCTGATCTGCTGCGCCGTCGTGGTCAACCAACAACAGCAGGACCTACCTCTTAACCCCCATCGCTGCCAGATCCGCCATAGTGAAACAAAAAAAAAAAAACTCTTCGCCGCCCCCCGAGCGTCTTTACCTTGCGCCCCATCTACTCCTCCAGCGCCGCCGCCACCGCTGCCCTTGAGCACAATCCTGCTGCACTTGAGCGCGCCTACGGAGAACCGTAGGGGTGCTGAGCCGACCGCCGCGCCACTGGGGGCGTCCGACGGCCGCACAACGCCCCTCCCTCGCCGGTCCAGCCCCTCCATCGCGCTGCTCCTCGCTGCTCCTCCGCCGCGTTGGTGGGTTGCCGCGCCATGGGGGCTTCGCCCCATCTCGCGCCGCTGCTCGCCGCTCGGGTCAATTGGACGGCGGTTCCTCTTGTCCCTGATTTCTATTCCCCTTTGTCCGTGTTGACCTGGGAAGAGATAAGGGAGGGGATGGGGCACTGCTAGGGGCATCCGAGATTGTACCCCAAGGTTCGTCTTGCTGCTGCTTTTTTTTTCTTTTTTTCTTTTTCCCAATCAGAGATCGGGTTGCGTCACCCTGCCGTTCGTCATCGCTTCATCCTCGACACTCCCAGAAGGCGAGGTTGTCGTTGTGCCTCTTCATTTGCTCTGAAACGCTTCGTGATCCAGCCATCCTCGCCAGGGCGACGCCGCCTTTTCATCTAGCGGGTGGCGCCACCCATCAGAGGGCGAGCTGTGGTCCTCGTCACGCGGCTCTCGGTCCTGAGTCCGCGCCTATTGCCGCACGCCGCGGACACGCCGCCGATATTGTTGAAGGAAGATGCAATTGCGCTCTTTAGTCGCACATCTACCATCGCAGATCCGGCCTATCGTCTCCTGCCGACCACAACCGGCAAAGAAGCTGCTGATTTTATATATTCAGCGCCTTGACGCTTTCGACCAGCGCCTCCTCCACGGGCTTCGATCGTGCCCACCTGAGACATCGGCTACTTCGCACTAAGGGGCTACCATCTCGCTTGACAAGCCTCTTCGCTCCCATTCCAAGCCACAACATATCTCAAATGCACCTAAACATCGGCGGTTGCTGTAAACTGTGGGGGGATGTCATCTCTTCGGCTTATTCTCGAGTCTCATCGATGAGGCCTGGCTCCCGTTAGTGGTGAGATGGGGATGTTAGAGTATATTAGGCAACTCCGGATATGGTTAGTTTAGGATTGATTGTAATCCTGGGATAACCTTCCTTATCTCTAGGAGAGGCTACTTGCCCTCCAAGCCATGTACTCCTATATAATCAGCCCAAGGGGCTCAAGCAATACATCCAGCCCAAGGGGCTCAAGCAATACATCCACGCATTATACACCAATCTTACACTTCCGTCAAAGCTTTGAGCGTCAGAAACACCACATAACCCACTACAAGGAAGAATCCACTTTATTGAACAGGGTAATCAACTAAAAGTCTAAAACATACCTGAGTTCATGACTGATTTCACGCAATTTACTTGTTGTATTTCGATGTTGCTTCTCAAGAAGTGGAATGATTAATGGAACACTCTCAACATACCTTTGAGTAACAGAAACAACATTTGTTTCATTCAAATGAAAGATATGAGAATGACAAAAGACATTATGTTGTACAGTTAATACAACAGTACCTCTTCTGCAGCAACTCTTCCAAATATAATCTTAAGTTACCCACTCCAATTCTATCTCTCTCCTTGGTTGTAAGTGACCTTCCTAACTTGTCTTCAATAGATGCAATATCTTCCAACTCTCTTGATAAGATGGCCTTCATGATGACACAATAAAAAAACATTAGAGGCCTTGTGGAAAGGTTTCCTGCTTACATTACACACACATAAGAGAAAAGGCTCAAATTTGGATATCTAATGGGCAATGCTGGCAAAACAATCTGCACTAAAACACAGGCATTGTGTTCTGTAAAGCAGTTCGGTTAGAACATTCCCTAAAAGCACTTTTTTTTTCTTCCTATGTTATTCCATTCCTTCGCAATAAATTGTGTTTAGGATTTCAGTAGTCAAACTCTGTTGATTTTTTTATGAAAAACTGTGGGGAAGTTCAACACAGTATTGTTATAAAATAAAGGTGGTTATGTACATACAACAAGGTTAAATTTCAAACTAGTAACATGATGTAATTGTAATGTAGCCCCTGGAAACAAATAACGTTCGTTGTTCTTTATGAGACAGTACTTCCACAATATAATATCTTTTAAAATTTTCGCTAACATATTACTATGAAAGCTGATCGTCAACATTCCTTATTGTAGATTGTGTTGTTAAAAAAGGCAACATACATGAACATGTCATTTGATCCTACAAATATGAATTGTAAATCCAATAGGAGCACACATTTCACAGACACAATAGAAGCGTTGTCAATTACATTCTTAACCCCCACAGGAAGTACAAACCTATCTGTTAGTCACAGGAAATTCCTAGAGTAAAAAAAAAAAAAAAAAACTCGGCCTGCGGGGGGTATTCCTAGAGTAGTCTTTACCCTACACAAACGTATAGAAATATAGGCACATCCACACAAACTCTTGGAGTGGCACCTCGAAGTGGAGTCTGAGAAGCTTCAAAAGTCAAAGCAAGCATGTCTATTTGAGTTTAAAAAAATCAATATGTAATTCAAAAAGCACAGAAAGTACTCCCTCCTTTTATTTTTTGTAAGGCATGGTATGACCCCATGCGGTCACCAATGACACATTTTGACCATTATAATTTTTCTCAAATGCAGTAAAGTTGCGTATCATTTTATCAAGAAGAAAAGAAATAGTACATTTTAACCACTAATATCTCATATATCGTATGTTCATGAATATGAATTTGACATTATGGAAATGTTTTCAAATATAAATCCAATGGTATCAAATTTCTATAGTATAATCTACAAATTCTTAGATTAAGTGCTAATCAAAGATTAACAAGTTTGTATCTTAGGTTGTGTGCAAACCTTACAAAATGAAAATGAGGGAGCCTGTGGTTTCCATGTGTAACTTGAGTCCCTAAAAAACTATTAAAAACTATAGGTTTTCAGTTAGTTGTAATCCTCTTGTAAGGGAGTTTACATCATACTGAGTTACACATTCGCTCTTGAGTTTAACCAGATTGCCCTGTCAGGTACATAATGAAACTAGATGGCCAGTTGCTTTATTGGCACAGAAGGATAAAACTCAGAGTCTGCTTAATGCTAGTGTTCAAGCATGTCTATACAGTATATAATTCAACACAGAAGGAAGCACAAAGCTCTAAAGAATTTAGGCGGTACTGGCTTGTGATACCTTCTTAAACTCTTCATTTGATCTGAACACAGCTTCATGGCAAGAACCAACTCTACCAGAAGGTACTGATGTGAAAAAGGGAGAATCTCCCAATAAGGAAACATCTAGCACACAAGTTGGTGGGTGAAGAAACACTTCAACATCAGAGGGGCGGGCAAACTGTGGTATTTTAGTGTCCAGTTTTGTGGAGACTAGAACAGTCCTGGCGAGATCAGGATCAACCTGCAGTACCAAAAGGAAAAAGAAAAACTCTGCTTAGTGGAAACATTTTATCAGTTGCAGAAGGGTTGTGCAAGGTCAAGCTCTGATTGAAGGCCTAGAAGTCCAGAAAGTGATTTTGTCTTTTGATTATGTATGGCAACCCAGTTATGATTATAACTGGTGGAAAATCATGCAAATGTTTATTCTTAGAGGAATTAGGCATATAAAAAAAAGATTACTTCAAAACCAACCTGCATCACTACTCTCCGTGTAGTTGCATTACTCCAATCACTACAATCTTCAAGGCACAGTATAATGGTCTCTTTATGCTGGATTTTAGCATGAACAAGGCTCTCAACAGCAGAAGCCTGGCTCTGCATGTCACAAGATTGCCAAGGTTGGAGCAATTTCAGTGTGGAATCAAATGCACCTAAAAGGGTAAAAAGCCTACTGTAAACTGATACAGAGGACAACAAACAAAGTACCTGCAAAACTCTGTTTTTACGGCCAGGAGCTGGAAGGATGAGGCCTGGAGTGTCAACAATGGTGAGATTGGGGGAATGCTTGTATTCTACCTTAATTATGATTTCCTTCTCTGAAAATTGGCATGGATCATTCTCCAACCTCAAGTTTTCAGCTTCAATATATGCCTGAAAGTAGTTGAGCAGAGTTTACAAAATAATATCCTCGTGCCACTAAAGTTTGGGGAAATAAGAATAAGAAATCATTTAATGCAACAGTGATCCAGCCTTCTCTGCATTACAATTTGACAATGTAACAAAATGCAGAAACAATTTCCTAGTTAATCAAGCAATCAAAAGCTGCATATTCGACATTATGAAAAGTCAAATGGTTTCATGTATCAAGATGGTGCTTGGTAGCAATTGGCCTATATGCCTCCTTTTTCTAGCAAACTAACCTAAAAGTTCATAAACAGTATAATCAATACAGAACCATGAAGTTAGCTATTGGATGCTGGTCGAACTTTTAACATAAATAGATCAAGTTAGCTACCAAATAGCTTCTCCAACATCATATGGAAATATACAGAGAGAAATCACATAAATATACAAGGTGTATTACAAATATCCCATCCATCCGTTCTCCTTAAAATGCTCTTCGTCTGATTATCTTCGTAATGGCTAATCCCATCTGCAGCACCCCAGGTCCTCCTTCCAGCACAGGACACAGGCAATTACACAAACACAAGGGGTGCATTGCACTTCACAGATATACAGATAAGAGCAGACGGAGCACACGGCAGCGGCATTTCCACAAACACATGCGCACGCCGTCAAGGAGCGTACGCACCTGGATGTCGGCGAGCGGCATGGGGCGCGCGGCAACCCCGGCTTCATCATGTTCGTCGGCGTCACCGGCTGCAGAGAGGAGGCGGCACTGGGGCTCGTCGCAGCGCGGGTTGAAGCGGAGGTGGAGCGCGACGGGGCGGCGCGTCTTGGTGCCGCCGCCGACGTGGTTGAACTGGAACCCCATGAGCGCCTCGACCAGCGCGCTCTTGCCGTCCGTTTGGTGGCCGACGACCACGACCGCCGGCGCCACCGCCGCCGCCGCGCCGCCCAGCTCGGACGCCAGCGCCTGCAGCTCGTTGTACGCCTCGTAGAGGAGCTCCCGCGCCTCCCACGCGTCCGCCTCCGGCGGGAGCGGCGTCGCCATTGGAGGCAGTGGGTGGAGAAGTGGGGCGGCTGGTTTCAAGCACTGCCCGTGCGGCCGCGCGTTATCTCTTTCAGCAGGACTGCTTCACTGCTTGACGAACGAGATTCTCAGCGCTTCACTACATTTTGTTTTGCACTTTCCATCTTTGTTTTCTTTTGAACAGAGACCTTCTTTGTTCCACCAGACTCGCTTTATGCTTTATGGGCTTAACAGTTTTATTTTCTAAAAAAACCGCTAAATTTTTTGTCACGAATTTTATTAGAAAAATAAAAATAAAAATAAAAACAAATGATGGTCTAAAGTGCAAATGGAACCTAAGGGCTTCTCCAATGTAACGACGAGGAGTACTACCCTAAGGCCACGTTCGCTTTGGTCCTTCATGTCACGGTGAACGGTAGCTCCACATATATACATACATATATATATATATATATATATATATATATATATATATATATATATATATATATATATATATATATATATATATATATATATATATATACATACATATATATATATATATACATACATACATATATATATATATATATATATGGTCAACGGGCCAGTCTGGCCCGGCACGGCTGTAAGGTCGAGATGATGAATTAGAGAAGGGTAAATAGTCCTTTCTCAAACTTAATCGCGTCGGCTAACCGAAACAAGTACGAAATTAAAATTATCGGTCTAGCCAAGACTATACCCCTTTATTTATGTTCTCTAACACCTTTCAAAGATACTAAATAAGCAACAAAGGTGCCGAGCTAGCTAGAGCTCACCTAACCAATTTTAGGAGTAATATCACACAAACATATGACATTAGTACTTTAAGCAATAAGGGAGCTCCTACACATGCTAGTAAATAAAAACACAAAGTCAACTAAGCTCACTAGCAATGCTCAATAACAAAGCAACCAATGACAAATTAGAGAGCGCAAATATTTAGCTACACAAATTAAGCAATGTGACTAATAAAGTTACACAAACCAAATTAGCCACGCAAGGGAGCTACTTCTATGCTACTCAAGCAAGAAGATAACTAGGGAGCTACACAAGCTAACTAATTATTAGAGCAAATACACAAGCACAATGTATATAAAAGTAATCACAAGCTTGTGTAAAGGGATTACAAACCAACAGGAAGAACAAGGTTGACACGGTGATTTTCTCCCGAGGTTCACGTGCTTGTCAACACGCTACGTCCCCGTTGTGTCGACCGCTCACTTGGTGGTTCGGCGGCTAATTGGCATCACCCGCCAAGCCCGCACGTCGGGCACCACAAGAACCTACCTCGAAAGTGATGGTAGCTCAATGACACGCTCAACTAGAGTTGCTCTTCACGGCTCCCGCGGGGCGAGCACAATGCCCCTCACAAAGCTCTTCTCCGAGCACCCGAGCGAGGGGAGGAGGGGGGGAGAGGGGCGGCCGAGGGCCGCTAAGCGGTCCGGTTGCTCTTCGCCCGTGTGAGCCGTCTGAGAGAGAGCAGCCCGTGCGTGCTGGGGTAAGGCCTGAGCACGGCTCGCTCCTCCGGTTGGGCCAGCCTAGGCCCGCTAGCCTCCATGCGGGGCCGTGCTTGAGCCGGGCCAAAAAAACGGGCCTTGGGCCGGGCTGACGGGCTCGGGCTGCATGGCCAACTATGGCTCCGTAGCGCGTTAGAGTGTATTGCAGGAGATACAGCAGCTTCATCTAACAAAAGTAGGAGGCAGCAGGCTGGAGCGCGTTGTGAAGCACGGGACGGTGGCTTGCTCTGCAAAGTGTCAGAAGAAAGAAGAGATATGTCAGTACACCAGGCCCTAGTATTGTAGCAGCTGGATTAAGCTTGTGGTAGTTTGCATTGAGGGCTTCTATGTCTACGTGTATTTCTACTTTTTGTTCAAGCTAACACACTTGTTAGCGCACGTTGGGGGTGGCCTAAGAACCAAACAACTGGAAGTTCGGTATACCACCCAACAACTTCAGTAAAATGACCGATCCAAGTAATGACTATTGACTATACGACTACTTAGACTCTACCTATGCAGATTAATAAGGATGTTAGCCTCAAACAAAAGTACAAGACCACGTAGGTAAGAAAATAGGAGGCAACTTTTTTCCCAACGCAGACTACTTTTGTATGTCATCTTGGTTTTGTCTCTACACAACATACATCATTGTCATAGCATTCGAATTATTAGGTGTACCGGCGCCTTTTTTTCTTGCCAGAAGCCTCCACACACGTCTTGTTGAGTGCTCTAACCTTTTGTCAAATGAAGTAGCCGACACCTCTGCAAGCTAACCTAACACTATGCAAAGCCTCCATTCAACTTAATGTGGGCCTCGAGAGCAGATGTGGAGCCTGTAACCACTAGTCCGATGTCGCGTTGGAGACGACCTTAGTTAATACTAATGATGCAACATTGAGCCAACTCGATCAAAGCATATCCAAAGTCGCTCTAAACCACCTCATGACTTTAACCACAACTTGCTCTAAAATCCATCACAGAGCACAACTAGGGCTTAACAAGATCACTAAGGTCCTATTTAGATCCTTGGAATTTAAATACATTTCAATAACTATAGTTTAGGCACATATCAATTAAGTTAACATGATCGAATATGGAACATACTTGTATGTTGTTATTAGTCACATGAGGAAGATACTTATGTGATACACTCATGCTATAGGTGAATGAGCCAAAAAAAAAACGTGGTACAAGTTACAGAGCCGAAGAGACGGTGAAGTGAAAATTTGGGTGTCAAAAAGGCGCAGAAACACTCTATTGCCATGCATATAACTTATCCCATTTCTTACAAAACAATTATGTAATGTCCATCGTACTTGGTAAAGATTAGAACCTAATTTTTCTTAATAAAGAATCTTAATTATAAACCCAATTGCATCTTGCACAAAAAGAACAATGAATATTTGTTGTCTCAAAAATAGTTGCTCTCATGGCCGGCATTCCTCTCACTTTGGCAACATACACTTGCTTTTGTGTTGTCTTAAAATGGAATTTATGTTCCATTTTGGCTACAAAATTACCGAAAACCATGTTTCCTAAAGCTCCAGTAGCAGACTCATACTAGTAAAATCATTAAAAGTTTATCTATTTATTACTGGATACATATATCATATCATAAACTAGGACAACCCCAAAAGCTATCCATGAATCGGTAACGTTGGTCCCCATCTACAAGCGCATGAGCAAATCACAGGATGAACGAGGTATTTTTTTAGATAATTTTCTGGTAAGTATAGATTGAGAAAAGGGTAAACTCTAAATAATTTTATGCAGCAGGCCCGAACACGCACGCGCCAGCTAACACCGCACACGGCCCACTTGTTCTTTACCCTCATACCGAATTTTCCCGCGCTCGTTTCTTCTTCAGCAAAAGCTTCAGCGCTGGAGCCTGTCACGCCGGCACTGAGTAAAACCAGTACTCATAACTAAAAAATCGACACAAGACAGGGCGAGTTATGGCTCCCTGATTGAACATTAAACATCATCCTCACATTTGATCTAACAACTTTGCAATATAGTACATGTTACAGAAAATTATCATCGGCTGCAGGAATCACTAGTTATCCCCTATTAACAATTTGGATATAACATCCAGAAGGCCATTGACCTTTGCTTTCCAATGACATGTTGAATTATCTATAACTACTTGTACACGTACATGTTTCTTCTTATATTCTTCACCGCTAACTGAGTCCTCCAAACTCCAAAGATTAATTATGGGCCATGGTAGGCTGACTTGACACTTTGAAAGCCATGCTCAGCTTACGTTTGGTGCCACCAGACTTCCCATCTGAAGTATTCTGGGTAATATCTGAACAAAATGTTGCAACAAAGTAAAACAGAAAACACTTGGTCACATGCTGCGGCACAAGTGTATCAAGCTCAAAGTAAGAGGCACTAACCTCCCCACATCTCGCATTGATTTTCAGTGATAAAATGCTATCAGCCCTGGTCTCCCCGATGGTAACTGCAGCTATCGGAGCATTTGCTTCGTGTGCCAGCCTGAATTTGGATTAATAATCATCAACCGGATATAATTTAATCCAATTTGAGAGACATTGCCGAGAAAAAAAAAAATCTTAAAACAGATTTCATGACTAGCTCTTGATCATGTAGTACAAAAGAGAGTGTCAAATATTATTATATATTTCTACTGATACCTTGCCAACCGAAAAGCAGACATTGTCATTAGTGCTGAACCAACCACTAGCAGTGCATCACAGGCTCTTGCAGCCTCCTTAGCGCTTTCAGCTCTCTCTTGAGGAACATTATCACCAAACATCACAACCTTCAAACATCAGAAATAACAAGTTAAAAAAAACTCAGTTATGATATTCATACGGCTTTAGTAACATCACACAGCCTGTGAAAGAATGCCAGGAAATGGAATAGCATATTGACAATTTACATCCCATTTCTAGTCATTGCTAGACAGATTACTAAGGATTAAAGAGATATATAGGATGCTAAATAAATTAATGTTGCTAATTCAAAACAATAGAAGCGTAAGGTGGGGATTACAGCCCCACCCCTGTTGGGTGCAGATTAGCTAAAAAAACCCACTAAACCCAGATGGCTAGATGTGGTTTAGAATAATTCTTCTAATAATTCAAAACTGCAACTGAGCATACTTATATACACCAAGAAAAATTAATACTACAATTATCAGGGTGAAGAGAATCTCACATCAGGCTTTAGCACTCCACCACATTGATGGCAGCTAGGGATTTCAAAATCTTGCTCCCAAAACTTCTCATCAATCTCAACATCACCATCAGGTCGTTGCTGCATTCCAAAACTTTTGTCTGAACCTGGTTGCCCTACTTCCAAACTATCAATAGCTTGAGCCCACTGCAGAAACAACAGTAATCATCAGTTGTCAGGGGCTACAGAACGATCGGTTCAAATCTGGAAAAGAACAAGCATTACGTCGCTTTAAAATTTGAGTAGCATGTGGTAGAAATCATCTACAGAAAAATGTATTGCTCTACCGATCAA